AGAAAGGAAGAGTGGGAACACAATGGAATTGGTATGAAACGCATGAATAGTGAAATGTCAGACAATGGATTGGTGATGGATTGAAGATTTGCAAACTAACGGTTTACGATATGGTTTTCCTATTTTACTGAGTAACTCTGTAATTTTCGTTAGATACAATTCGGTTGCCCTCACCTGTGTTCTCCTTCACTACATTTGGTGTCGCTGCCTGCTCGAAAGAAGGAGCTACCATGGCCGAAAGAGTTTGAGGACGGAGATTCGCGGAGCTTCCTGGAGCAGCTTGAGGCCGTGGTGGGACTGATGGGTGTGAAAGAGCCCGGGGCGAAGTTGGTGGTGCTGAGGACGCTAAGGGGAGGTGGAGCAAAGGCTGTATACGACAGCCTTGACGGCGCCCCTGGAAAGACGGTGTGGGAGACGGTAACGGAGCGAACAGTGACTGAGTTCGTCGCCCCAGTGGACAGGGAGGAGGCGCTGCAGAGATTCCGGCTGGCGAGGTTGTCTGTCGATTGTGACCCACTGGTGCTGGCCTTAGAGCTCACGACGTTGCTGCGCCGTGCGCTACCGAGTATGGGTGGGGATTCCGGGGCACAGTTGTTGGCGTCGCAATTTATCGAGAGTGTGCCTGCCGGCGTGTCCCAGCAGCGGGAACTAGTAAACGCTACACGTTCGACAGATGCCATACGCATTCCAGACCAGCGGACAAGAACAATGACCGAAGTGGTAATCCGGCATATTGCAGCGTGTCACGGAATACCGAAGGTGATATTAACTGACCATGGTCCCTGTTTTCAAAGTGACGAGATTGGAAGAAAGAGTTACCATTGATTTTGCTGATCCCAAAGTGTGAAGGACCGTACGTTATCACAGAGGGACGCGGCGCAGATTACACGGTCCGGAGAGAAGACTAGCAGAAGCGCGTAAATGCTAGTCAACTGCAGAGATGGTTTCAAGATTATCAAGTGTATGAGTCACGAAAACACCAAAGACGACAACGGTACGGCAATCAGAAAGACTACGAAGACAGCTTATTAAAAGGGAGGACGAGTGCGGTGCGCGCTACTTATTAGTAGTATAAGACGCGAGTGTAAGCGTAATGTCTGGCAGCAGAAGATGGGCAAGATCAAGAAAGGAAGAGTGGGAACACACTGAGAATCATTAACGCTTAATTTTCTACTATTTGCTTTTCAATAAAACTCATTAGTTGAGCATAAGATATCTGTTAGATTTTAAAGTGATTTTAAAGTGGTGTAATAAATCATACGACATTGAGTTTTACATGCCGTGTTTAGTAATAAATAAGTTCTTTAGAACTCATCCTCATACAAAAGTTGCCAAATAATCAGTTTACTTCTTAGTTACTTATGTTCTCAAACACTGAATGAAATCAATATCGATTAAAACATGTTTAAATGCGAGCCTAAGATTACGTCGAATCTATTTGTAAACGAATTGTACGTGAAAAACATTTGAAGATGAATTTCTGTTTGAACCATTTCACTAATCAATGTATTAACTAACAAAACATCAGTTATCACTTGACATAAATAACATAAAGCATTCTTTCCAGCAATTTCATATCGATCAAATTCATTGGCTTTGCTTTTCAAGTGTGTCAAATATGTGATGTGATATGAAGTTTAACGGGATGTGATTAGTAATACGTGAGTTCATTGAAACTAATCCTCATGAAGTAGTTATCAAAAATAAATCGCCTTCTTAGTAACTTTTGTTCTCAAACATTGAATGAAATCAATAATAATTAAAATACGTTTAAGTGCAAGCCTAAGCATACATTATTGATGGTCAGTTCTCAATGTTTTTTTCAGCTGTTTTCACACAATTCTGAAACCTTTAAATTAAATATCCATTTTAACTAACTGAAACACTTTTACCTTTTGATTCGTATCATCCACTTGTATTTATGAACAGTAGGTATATATTCGAAATCACCTTTGAAATATTTAGGATTGACGCCTCCAAGAACCATTTCACCTCCAATCTGTGAACCATTGTCCCTAACAAAAGATAACAGAATACCAATATTTAGTGTTGATTACATCAAATGTAGCCAACTGTGTGTACCGTGATCACACATGATATAAGAATCAATCACATGTTAAATTGTATGACTGTGTTAACACATCTGTTTAACATGCTGAATATACGCATTTTACGGTGTTGAATTTTACGGAAGCAGCAAGAAATGGTCGTGTGTCTTGTTTGTTGAAGAACATGTAAAACACGATTACTAACAGACATAAAAACTATTGATTCAGCAACCGAAAGCGAACACTGAAAAGTAGGTAAATTGAAATTCCTACACCGCGGTGAAAATTGCGAAAAATTACTCAACAAGTTTCAAGATGAGTCGGTTTAGTTTTGATAAGACAAAATCATAGAATATAAGTTATTACATAAACCATTCAGGCAGACAGATACAACGCAGAACTTCGTACATAAGTACATCATTTCATGTTGCCATACCACATTAGCACAGAGCCGCGACCGTAAATTCAAATCCAATAGTGATAGCGATATTACAAGTATAAGCAGTAATAGAGAAGATTAGGGAGCGAAGATATGATTCGAAAAGTATAATTTAGAACGAGAAATACAAAGATTATGAGGAATTCAGAAGGTTCGAATTAGGGAGAACACAAAGAGTGGATGCACCTGCGCCATTGCAAACGATTCTGAGCCATGTCGTTCAAGGTCTCTAACCATCGGTTACTATCGTCTCGCGGACCCCAACGAGATAGCTTACATCTACTAACATGTTTCAGTCAACTTTTCAGTGACTTCATGGATTTGTGCCATGTTTTGATCTTGCCGCCCCTATCTTTCTTCCAAACTACTCCTACACCACAAAACATCGCTCATCTAGGCAGCCGGTAGTTGGGCATAGGTAACACATGTCCCAGCCACCTCAACGGATGAAGTTTCACTACATCATCTAATGATTTGCCATCCCTACCTAGTACTCGTTTCCTAATGACAGCATTGCTTACTCAGTTCTCTCAGGATACACGAGCAATGCTTCGGAGACATCGATGACCGAAGACTAGTAGCCTACAAAAGTCTTCTACTCTTACCAGCCATATTTCGCATCCGTATAGTAGGATGTAGCGAACTGCTGAACAGTACACTCGTCCTTTGATTTGCAAGCGGATATCTAGCCTAAGTCATATGTGAAGGCCCGCTGCTCTACCTTCCTTTAGATTTATTAAAGCTTTCTCAACTTTATAAAGACTAGGAGGACTTACATTGATTTAGCATTCAAGATGACTGGGGATCGTGGGCAACCGAAGTGAGGCTGAAGGCTAGTTGAACTGGTCCCTAAAGTGTTCTGCCCATTGTTCCCATCTCTTGGATTGAGAATAAATAAGAGTCATATCTTTTTCCGAGATATTCTTACGTGCACTAGGATTCCTGACGCCCATTTCCTCAATAAGTCGGAAAAATTGTCTAGTGTTGCCTATCGCCGCTGCCTTTTCCATCGCTTTTGCTTTCGCCACCCACAAGTAGTCACTGTATTTTATCAGCCTGCGCCCAATCTGGCTTCGTCTTTCATCATGTTCAAAGCCAGGTGAGATGAGTTCCCGATCATCCATCAGTTCGCTGGATGCTGCTGAGATCCACGGCTTCATTCTAGCCTTAAAGTTTACCTTACTATTAGATAGCACTGATGTTTCCACAGTACTTTTGATATGATTCCAACCTGCTTTTGGATGATAATCGCCCACATGGTTGCCTAACTGTTTTCCAGTTGTTCCTAAAATATATTCCTAGCTTTATTATCGTTAAGTATCTTTCCTACGTCCAGTAAGACTCAAGCAAATACGAGCTCGCACTAGGGCATGATCTGAATCTAAACATGTGCCCCAGAACGAGCGACAGTCCTCCATCGAACCCCTCCATCAGTGGCTAACGGCGATGTGATCTAGTTGGGTCCAACGTTGAGACGACTTCGGGGGTCGCCAGTTCAAAAGATGTTTTCCCTTATGCCTCAAGTTAGTGTTTGCTCGAAACATCCGTCTATCTGAGCATAGTTCTCTGGGCCGCGACAACATAACATCCACCTAGGTGCCTTTCCTGCTCACTTAGTCTACCTACTTGAGCATGAAAGTCACCAGCCATTATTACTACATCGGAGCGCCTAGCATTTTGGAGGAGGTCAGAAAGCATTCTGTAGGTTAGTGTCAGTCATAGAGACCTGAAAGCGTTACCGCGGAGCACAAGGGACAACTGCTTGGGGTCGGTCACGCACGGCCTTTTCAAGAAAGGATTTTTGAGTGTTAGCTCCGCTCTAAAAAGCCCTTATTGAGCACCCTTACCGCCGGAGACGGAAATCCGTAAGGCAGGGTGAGGTGTGACATTTTTAGGGTCAACCTTTTCTAACCCTTACTTCTTTGTGAGAAGACTGCATCCCTGTAGATGCTGGTTGTCCGAGGGAAACACCTTAATGCTGTCACACCTCTCTACAGTCAGTCAGAATTACGACTTCGCCCGCAGAACTTGAGTAGCTGCTTTTAGTCTCATCGTTCTTCAATCGACCTGCGTGGCATGGTAGAACCTTCAGGAACATGCGTTCCAGCCAATAAAGCTGTTGGTTGGGTCATGACAATAGGCAAGCCCGAACACCATGTCAAGATGGCAGCTTTGTTCGGGACATAAACCATTCATCTAACATTCCAATGTCAGAAGTTATTCCTATGGTATTGATTGGAGAACCAGTGAAAATTCAATAACGTGATTTTGATGATAATTTAAATTTAATCGAGAACTGTATGAATGCTAATGTTAAACTGAATTTGATCTGCATGAGAACGTTGTATTGACTATTAACTAATTCGAAGTTACACATATTGTTATTTCTACAAATCAATAGTCGACATACTTCATTTAGTGAAGTTCAAACAAATTCTCAAAAAAGGAAATAAAACATGTGACATCAAATCTTGTACTTTGAATTGTGTTAGGGTAAACTGTCACAAACTCACCGATTTAAATAAAACGAAAATACTGGATCCATATTCACACCATTGGCCAGTATATTTGGAAACATTGGAATATTTCCGTAGGGTGATATTCGACCACTCGACATACCAACTATTCCATCATATTTGTTAGTCAGGTAATCGTAGTGAAATATGTTTGTCATTTCAGCAAACGCTTGTCTTGGTATAACTAACGAATTTATCTGGAAGTGTACTTTATTATGAAATATTCTGAAACATTACTCGTATGGTATCAACACTCCAAAATCCAGAGTAATTACTATCAACATATGAAACACGATAATTGGAACCATCTGCTTCATATGTGGAAGATTTTGAACTATCGTAAAACGAGAACATCCAGCAAAATACATCGAGAAACCAACACTTTCTTGAGGCCAGCCATGTGTCCATTGATCCTGTGTCGAACAATACACGAAGCTTTTGAGGTGGAGTTCCCACTGATATCTCACCATAATATTGAATCTTATCAAAGAGATTATTGTTATCAAAATGTCAGACAGTTTAAAAGAGAATAAATGTCAATTAATCTATTGGTCATGTGTAACACAGTGTAGTGATGAAATGAACCTCAATGCACTTAGTGAATATGCCATTCGCATTCTCGATTATATTGCCTACCTAGCTCACGGATTTGTGACAGCTTACTAGCTAATAAATAATGAATATGATTTGTTCTATCACATTCATATTACTAGTGGGACATCGTCAGTGTAACATTCAATTTTTGAAATACTGTTTCACCGTGTCATAAGTTGTGAACTATATGAAAGGAATGAATCCGGTTTATTTCACATGTATGCTTTAGACTTCACAACAAAATGACAATGCACCTGACAGCTTTCGTGACATACATGATTCAAAACCAAGAGAATTCATGGGTAAAATACGATCGTTAAACTTACGTCTTGATAACTAATTAGTTGCTCTGACGTAGCGGTTGTCCACTTATTCCCTTCATTCATCCATTTTCTCGTCGATGGCAGGAAGATATTCGAATGAATTGCAGGCCAATTACTACTTCTTTCCACCGGGTATAAAGGCACTTTAAACATCTCACAAAGTGAATATGGCAATGAAATGAGAATGATCAATCGAATCATTGAAGTATCCTCTCACTTACAGATGAGCGATGATGCTCGTGTAATTTGTAATATTGTTTTTCGTATCTATTTGACGCAGACACAACCAATGAACTTGTAGATTGTTAAGCAAACAAAATAGTTTATTGGTTTTAACGCGAATCTACCTATATCAGTGCAGATATCATTGCATACACAATTTGCTACAAGTACCTGTTAAATTACAGTATGGTCCGTTACATTTTGAGCGATTGTTTTCAAAATGGTTGATTATTATTTCCTGATAAGTGAAACATTCAAACATCCAACAACTGATGGAAAGCAATAATTGTTGAACCCTTCATTAGTCATCAAACCCCTCTTTTAGGATGCAAACTGAGGTTTTGACTGAGGATTAACTGTCTAGGTAGTTTAGAAACGCTCTATTGGCCAGCTGAAACTAAAACAAGGTGATTAGGTAAGTAACGGTTCTAATATTCATCATAAATATAAATGTATATGATTACCTAAGCAAATATTACCACTCCGTTTTTCCACCAACAATCGTTCAGTTGATAGAATGAATAGCAACAAATAAATATTATTCTATCCCTCATGGATAGATCAGATTCGTTCGAAGGATAATATTTAGTTGCTTTATAAGAAAGTGTTTCATATTCTGGAGGAGTGCTTCAATTCCTAATCAAAATGCACAGTTCCAGTGAATGAAAGCAACTCAATCAAAGGAGGAACAAATCAATATGGCTGTCGCCGAGACTAAGAATCAGCTAAAACAACATAAATGCAGTTCAGAAAGAAACACAGAAACTCAGTAAAGGTAAAACAAATAGAAACTATAATAAAATTCGAATTTTGTCATTTCCAATGGAATCGACCAGACTGACGAAATGTACAGCTGAAGGAATCAATAATAACGAATTTCAAATATATACATGTAGGGATTTTTACAAACAAAACTTTCAAAAATGGATCTTTCACATCTGCCTCTATGAGTAAAATGTTGTGATATCGAAGTGATAAATGCTTTGAAATTCGACATTGTAATATACGTTTCTGATTCCATACGATGTGGCAATTGTTGTTAGATGAAGTCACCGAATTACCTTGTTAACTATATAGTTACGTCTTGTCTTTGTCTAAATAACTAGATTAACCTTACTATATATTATCACGAATACTGGAAGGTGGTCACTTGTTGAAAATATTTCTCCAGTACCACGTTTGCATTATCGATGACTAAGCATTCCATAAGTAATTTCTGATCCAGTCTTAACTCATTAGCCATTGAGTGCGATTCGTGAGATAATTTCGAGTGACACATACTTTTGAATATGTGAAGCACATAAACCAAACTATGTTCTCAAGTACCCCATAATGTTTAAGAAGCATCTATAGTATTGTCCTGTCCACACTATCACATGCCTTCTCTTAGTCGATGAAGCTGATATATAGTGGTGAATACTTTTATTTCGATTGTTCCACAATGATCCATAGAGTCAAGATTTAGACGGTACATGATCGATCGTAATTTAATCCAGCCTGCTCAATTTGAAGCTGGGCATCTAATAAATGTTTATTCCTGGGAGTGAGGCATGAGTGATGCCTCTTTAGTTCTTAGAATTGTCACGATTGCCTTTTTGGGTAACTTGATCAAATGCCATTCTTTACAGCCCGTCATTTGGTGCTTATTCTTTCCTCTTATTCTTGCAAAACAAAGCTTGGAAAATCTTTGTTCTTATATCCATGGATGCTTTCAGTTTCGCAGCTGGTATACTCTCTGGTCTCGCTGTTTAGGTCCTCATATTTGTCTGATGGTTAGCTGATCTCTCAAAAGTTTTGAGGGTAAGCATTAATTGACCGGTCCGTGGGTGCTTCTTCGATTTTGGATGGGTTCAGTAGGACTGGTCGATTGACAGTTATTTAAAGTGCCCTTAAGTTCTATTTTGCTATTCTTCAATGTTTGTGGTCGCTTTGTCTTCATTGCTTAAAACTGGTCCATCTGGTTCATAATAATTTTCTGCGACCTTCTTTGTTGTCTCATACAACTGTCACGCGTTTCTCTCTCTTGCAATCTTTTCCACCATCACTACGAGAACTTCCACAAAATTACGTTTACTGGCTCTGATGCTCAATTTCACCCTGTTCGAATTCTACTAACACTTGTACTGTTGGATATGCTGCAATAAAACCATTTCTGAAAGTCATCTATCTCGATATGAATCTTTCTTGTGATCTCTCGGTCTTCTCATAATATAATGACATATCTAAAAATTTTCTGTTTGACTTTTTCAATGGAGGGACTGTGTTTTTGACGTCACTTGGTATCCATGTTTGCGATTTTTAAACTCTTGTTAACCATTTGAGAAAAGATACTGTTGTGTGGCTGAAGACAGCAGTGTGTGTGGCTAGTCTTTTGAAGGTCATTTTGAATATATATTTGTTGGAAGGTATTTTAAATCTCGCAATTTCCTAAAACTGTTGTCTCATCAGATACTAACAACTCATTCAAAATACATCTTTTTCTTCGAATAACTTCTGGTAGATTGAGACAGCGATACATTAGAACACATGACGGTGAAGCTTAGGAGGATGTGAAAACCTTTACATATCTGGACGGCGTAATCGGTAACCAAGGTGGATCTGATGAAGATGTGAATGCACTGATCCGCAATGCAACGGCATTATTTCGACACTTGAAATACATCTGTCACTCAAAACAACTATCAACCAACACCAAATTCAGAATTCTCAATACTAATGTCAAGACAGTTCTACTGTATGGAGTCGACACTTGGAGAACTACAAAAGGCCATCATTCAGATAATTCAAGTAATTATAGCAATTCTTTCTATAAACCTCTTCGCGGGAGACGAATGTTACTCCATGAACTCAGAGAATCAAGTAGAAACAGATTCTAGAGGAAGAAGTATATTTGATACTGGCCTTGTGATATCGAAATAATATCGAGGCAAGAGGGCGTACAAACAACTAACGTCCACGCAGGAGACGTGCTAAGAGGAGAAATGGGAATAACACGCTTGGCGCGCGAGAGATAGTCTTTAGTACAGATAAACAAGAGGTGTACAGTAAAACAATTATTGTCAGAATTAGGTACAATAACAAATGTTTATATTTCAGCAGTTGTGTTTTCTTCGTAAAAGTAAACCACTACATATTCATTAACAGTTGTCTACGGAAGATAAATCGGAGCGGTTGGCCAGACACCATCAGCAACAACCTACTGTGGGAGAGAACAAACCAGATTCCAGTGGAGGAAGAAATCAAGAAGAGGCGCTCTCAGTCGATAGCACACACATTTATGAAAACATTCAACAGCGTCACAAGACAAGCCCTCACTTGGAATCCTCAAGACCTACAGAAAAGAGGAAGGCTAAGCAAGAAATTCCCCCGAGAAATGGAGACAGACATGAAAAGAATGAACAACATTTGGACAGAACTGGAAAGGAATGCAGAAGATAGACTAGGTTGAAGAATGTTGGTAGGCAACACATGCTCCACTAGGGGTAACAGGCGTAAACAAGTATCTAAGTAGGTCCGTGAATGAAAAAAACCCCAATATATTTCATAACATCCAGTTATGATGCTTGTGAGTGATTTAGATAGAAAAAGTTGATGCATTTTGAGGGGAAATCAAAATTAGAAACTAGAGTACACAATAAAATAACTTATTTGAAGCACTTCATAGTAAATAAACAATTAAATATACCAATAAACATGAATTACCGAATTCTGACTTATAATAGAGACGGATTTATAAATGAAAATGTTTGCAAATATCCACTAGTAAATAAAATAGATTATTTAACGAATCACCATTCTCGTGACAACTTACAATGGATAGCATTCAAACTGAACACTGCAAGTTATGTTTAATATCTCATTCAGTCTATTTTAAAACAATCATTTCTATAAATTATTTTATTCCCTTTTCTCTCTCTGCTGAATATTCTCGGCAAGTACATATTGTTCGTCTTTTCATATCTTACTACAATTTTTCATATCTACTTCCACCTGTTTTACTGTTTTATACTTCTTATCCTGATTTCGTTGTTTCGAGGTGTGAAATTTATACTAGCATGCTATCAGTCATTCCATTCACCACTAATGACTACTTTCTATGTTGTAGTAATAACCATTATTGTACCATAAATCTGCATGAAGTATAAATTACATTGAAAGATTACTTTTAAGAAAATATTATTCTGAAATTACATACCATTAGTCTCTTTTATAAATTTTGATAGAACAACGAGAAGACGCAATTAATCTGGAAGATGTGATGCGTTTGCGATATACATTCCGAGCAAACCGGTCGCACATATACTTGTCTGTGGTGTGCAAGGTATCACTAGTTTCGTGACGGTTGATATCCAACGTGTTCCCAAACTTCGTAATTCGCTCGTCTAGACAATCGCCACTAAATAGTGCCTGACGGTTTTAAATCAGGTGAACATGAAGTGTTGAATACGTGTATTTTTTAATCCCACAAATACAACAGCAGGCCACAGACATGGAATTAATATGCGAATGCCGGAAGGCAAGCAAGCAAGCAAATGAACGAATCGGCGAATGAAGTGAAGTGAAGTGCAGAACGCTAGAGAGCCAACTCAACTAGATAAAGTATGACTAAGAATCTATAGTCAGACAAAAATGAAACAGACATGTAACACCCGAGATAGGCATGTACACACAGGATTAAAATCGACGAATGACTGACAAGGTCAAAAGACAACTGGGACAAGTCATGTGAGCTAGACAATCAATGATTAACTACATGTCAATTCATTTTGTATGAAATAAAGGCCAATTAAATTAGAGAAAACACACTGTGCTGCTAAATTGCTTATACTTGAAAAGGCTAAACCCTCAATTCCATACAGGACTAGACATTGTTGGAATGATTACATCACATCCCATGGTATTTATCAATTCACATGTTTGTGTGGACACATACATAGGGAGGAGGAATCGGATATTAGAATCAAGGTTGATGGGACATGTACCTAAGTGGCTTCAAAATCTGTTCAATTCAAGTATACCGAACATGGGAAATAAAAAACCATGGTCATCGATTGCAAAACACATGATTGAAACAGGGCATAACATTGACATCAATACAGCGTTTTATACATTGTATAGAAACGTTCAATGATGAATTTCGAGGTTTATGTGAGTCTTATCTAGTCTTGAATGAAAATCTCCCTTATGCGTACAAAAGCAATTTGTTACAACCTTGAATTCACCCTGGTAATTTTGAGGCCATTTAACCACATACGGTAATGTGACACTTATCAACCTACATCTGTTTGAACCTTTATTTCATTGACCTTTTTAATTAATTTCATATAAAATGCTTTGACAAATATGTGTGTGACCAGATTGTTCGAAATGTAGGGCGCACGTACACTACATTTTTCATATCATTTACGTCTTTTCATTGTTCTACCAATATATTATCCATTTTTTCTTATTTGAACTACCAACTATTATTGTTCTGACTATTTCCGAATAAAGTTTTAAAAAAAACTCATTTCCAGAATAACCCTTTAATTAGCATAAGCATTGGTCAATTTTTCATGAAAATTATTCATTTAGACAATTGAATTTTTATAAGTTGAGAATGATGTTGGTGATACTAGATTATAACATTGAATATACAAGTGTTCATTTGATCATATTTGTAACAATCAACCACCTAAATTATTTGGTGTCAGTCGAATCCGTTGCGTAAATGTACTTTCCTAAACATGTAGTCTGATTGTCTAAATTTCTATCCTATCGATGGATGGTTGTAAGCTTCTTATAGGGTATTCTGTGAAGACTTTTCTTAAAGTTTCTGGAGCTGTTTCACCTTAGCATGTGATCTCTCAGTAACAATGTGGCCGTGGTTATATACATCCGAGAAGTTTGTAAAATGAGACAAAACAGTCATTTCGTGTTTGTTGGTTTTCAATAGTTTTCTAGTTGTCATAAGTCAGTGACGTTAGATATAAAGAAGGTTTTCAGAGATTTAAAATTTTGTATAGAGGATAGTAAATTATTTACTCTGAAAACTTATTGTGGTCAGTAAAACGTCACCGAGAGCGTTAATTACTACAAATCTATGATGTACTTGTGTTCACTATGCAAAGAGATGCTGTAAATTTGTATAATACATTTCTGATCAACTAAAATATTGCCTTTATCATCAAGCCTTATCATCTTACTCAAACAGTGATATCTGATCAGCAAAATATACTCCATTAATTATCTGCCTGATATAATAACTTTGAAAGAAAATATATTGTATGCTTAGCTTATCCGGTATCGTGATTATGCTAAGAGTGAAGGAGTGTAAATAACAAACAGAAAGTATATTCTGAGTGGAACAGAAAATGTACGCATATCAATAAATTAAACCTTTACTAAATCGGAATCATACCGAATAGAGACTTTGTTTGTTCAGTGTTTCTAATTTGGAAAAATGGCATGCCTTGATGATAGTACTTTCCCTATTTTTAAAATGTTTATACACTTGTAAATGTATCTAATATTTGAAACGTTTTCATTTGACAGTGATGTTTTTATCGCTTGTTAATAATCTTTTATCTGTTAGAATTTTTCATACCTTTTATTCTAAAAATATTATTCCAAACCAGTCGGTGTCTTTGCTGATCCAAATAAAATACAGAAATACCACAACTTGAATAGTTGTTGCACAAGCAAGCACTGAGGACATTTTCTATCCCTATTCACTTTATGTCTACATCAGTAAACTTGTCGTCACAGCGTAAATGCTTTAGCACTTGATTTTCATGTAAAACGTTTTCCGATGAAAAATCTTAACTAACATGTTGCTAAAGTTCATTTTGAGTGTACACATTTTATAAGTCAAAACGACATTAGATTTAGTCTGTCATCTACTAAGTAAATGAGTTTTATTAAGAAAAAATAACAACCGACTTTCAAAAATATATCATGGTTTTGTACGAATTCAAAATTAACACTTAAACATTTGGTACATTACACATGCTTCTATTTGTTGTAGTTTCACATTATATACATGAACAAAATCATGTCATCATCTTCACAATACAATATGTACATAAATGAAAGTTATGCGTTTTGTCACGGTGTTTGTGTTAAATAGTACAATTCATCTTTCAAATGTACCGCTTCCATATAACCAATGGCACGTTTTAATTGATCAGGTAATTTTATCAACTGTCTACAGAATTTACTAGTTAACTCAATGTTCACATCAATCCTGTCTTCGGAATGCATAAGTTTCTTATAAAAATATTGTGTTCCTATTTGATTTCTTATCACATATCTACATTGTACAAATAAACTAAATGGTTGTTTATTAATTATTTGTAAAAATTTATTATGATAATAAGAAAAATATGATAAATGATGATGATGATGAGGATGATAAGTTTCAATGAAGAATTCTTGATGGTTGTGTTTATAATTCTGATGATTACTCAAAGGTTTGTAAGAATCGCAGTCGATCACATCACATAGATTCTCAGGCAATTTGCATAATCCGGAATATACCAAATTTAAAAATAACACAATAAACGATTGAAGTATACTGGAAAGGCATCGTGAAGTTTTGCTATGATAAAAATTCCATCTCATTAATTCATATAACAGTAATGGATAAAATTTATTCTTTTCATAAATTCGATCTGTTTTATTAGATATCAAATGAATATTGTTGATAATGAGTACATTCTGTACATCGATTAATATTTTATCAGTATGAATATAAAAAAATAATTTTGTAGGAATCAATCTAGACTTTAATAATTGTCTTAAAAGACCTGCATAATCAATAGTTTGATGATTAGTTGTAGCACTCGAAACATTCATAAAACTGTAATGTAACTGTATTGCAGTTTGTTCACATATGTAAGATATTGTGTGAGATTGAATACCTCCTCCACGAAGTGCGCTTAATTCAAAATCATCTATATTACAAACATCAGCTCCATTATCTAGAAGACATGAAAGTATTCTTGAATAAATTCCGGTTGTTTCATTCTCTTTTACTGAGTGAGTTAAAACACTTTTAACAACATATGAGGATAAGTATGATGGGATATTTCTTAGATAAAGATCCAATACTGATGGGTATACTTCAGTTATTATTGCCTCTTGCTTCATACACTCTTCATCATTTGATGACTTGATCTTTCTTTGAATAGAATTAATGTTTATTCCAGTGTTTAACAAAAACAGAAATGCCTCCCATTGGCCTTCATTGATTGTTTGACTAAATAAGAATTGTTTATGTATATTTGATGTTGTTTCATGATAATAATCTGACATTTTTCTAGATAAACATTCAAAATGTATATGTTGTGATGAATAATCTTGCTGTAAAAAAAATTTCTTATAATTATCTATTCTGACATCTTTACTTAGTTTATACTTCCATTTTGTTTTATCTTTTTTCCATCGACGATATTTTATATGTTTTCGATGAATTATACGTCCATAATTAGATGAGTCCATTGAGTGTAAACTATCATTGTGAAATACAATATGAGATTCGGGATCAACTACATTTGATTGTGAATATGTTTTATTTTGTTGACTGTCAATAATATGTTCCATATCTGTAATGTGATTTACTTGAACAGGGATTGATGATGAACTGTCTATTTGCTTGTCAAATGAATAATTCGTTTTATGTATTGTTTTATAATGAGTTTGTAATGCAGTGAATGTCTTTTCAATTTTATGCTTTGTTGCACTATATAAAATAAGAAGTAATGATTTATGCTTTGATTCTTTTTTATATAATTGATAATCGTACATGAAATTAGTATTTACATTTGTTTTACTAGATATTACAGTCATTGCTTGGTATGTATTATTTGTTTCCCAAAGAAATGAATAACTATTTGATAGCAGACCAAGTTTATCATATCGATCTGAAGGTGATATTCTACTCATCTCTGACAATCCTGTTAATAGAAACATTTTAGCTGATTAATGCTACTGAATAAATAATTGAAGATATTAAAGTAGTAGTAGTAGTAGTAGGTTAACCAGTAGGGAAAGTAGTATTTGTAGTAAACTCTACTTGAACTGTGATAATGTCATCAAAATATGTTGAACAACAAGTATTGTTGATACTTTGAAAATTTGTAGTGTAAAATCATTATTTAATTTTTATGTGATTTGTAAATGAAAATTAATTCATCTATGTGTTTGTTTATCAAACTAGGAAAATTGTTACAATGGAACACTTGTAAATTTTATGCTGACTTAAATAGTCAAAATAGCATGAATCTGATTGGTTAAAATAACAATAACCAACTGTGTGTTCAAAATAGAGTTGAAAAACCGTCACCCATTACCATTTCTAAGTTTTATATCAACAACCGATTTCGACAATTGTACGTTGATACATGAATTAATTCACTAGACTTTATTCTAAACTCCATTTGGTAGATTTTATCTTGAATACGATGTTAGCGACTGATAGACAATTTAAACCAGAGCAACATTTGAATATAAACGAAAGTTAAACTTGATTCGTGTAAAAAAAACCTATGGTTTGCAATGGATAGTTTCTTGCCCATTGATATGAAACACATCCAATTGCTTTGAAATTTTCATCATAGGCCTAATTGCAAGTGTTTATTGTGTTAAGTATGCAATCAACCATATTTACGTTGTTTGCATGAGTTGTTTGAATCTTCACATTGAGAATTACGATTGCACTTAATTAATCCCTGGTGGATTGTCTCAATAATACCATTAGATAACAATCACTGTTAGCAGAAATGCATGGTGGATATCAGTGGAATTCAGGACATTTTAAATGGGTGTGTCTATATCGCAGGGTAGATGTTCACTCTAGGAGTTGAATCTAGTAACGATCCATACAAATTCAATTGTGTCTCACATTCAACTATTGAGCTTGAACATCTACTTACTGATGCGATAGGGTGTGGTCTAGTTCATGTCAATTGTCCGAAGATATTCAGCACTGCAGTTGAATCCAAATGATTAGCCTCGAATATGACAGAACACACATTCTTTCATTCAACTGCTTATGTTTATATGTCAGATAAAGGAGGGTAACAAAAGACATATATGTTGTATATATAAATATTTATGGTTTACAAATAACTCGAAAAACATTGGTTATGTGAAAGATGCATTGTTCCCACAAGAAACTTGGAATTTATTTTGCATGAACCTAAAATTCATCATCTTTATTTTGTACAACAAAAGACGAAATCGTAGGTAATAAAATGCGAACCAAAAATTTCTTTCCTTGAGTACATTTAATAATAGTAGAATTGGAATACGTTAACTATGATGTAAACTTGACTTTGAGCATTTATGCAAAGACAAACCTTGTCAAGGCAATTATTCAATGTACGATCAGAATGTATTATCATACAAAAACGAAAATTCTCATTCAATACTATTTCTTTAATAAAGTTTACATAGAGAAACGAACTGAGCATTATATCCAAATTCAACCAACACCAAAGTCAGAATTTTCAATGCAGATGTCAACAAAGTTTCACTGTATTGGGCAGGAATTTTGATAGCCACCAAACACGTCTTCCGGAAGACACAAGTGTTTATAAACAATTGTCTACACAGAATTCTTCGGATCTACTTGCCATATACTATCGGCCACAACCTACTGAGGCAGAGGACAAACCAGATTCCATCTGAAGAATATGTCGGTAAAAAGTGCTGTAAGTGGACAGAACATACTTCAAAGTAATCAACCCACTTCGTCACAAGACAAAACTTCACTTGGAATCCTGAAAGTCAAAGGAAAATTGGAAAACCAAAGAACACCTGATGATTAGGACAACAGATGGACACGAGTAGGATGAATAGCAATTGGATAGAACTGAAAAAGAAGGTTGAGGATAGTGGTGGTGTTTCGTTCTCTGAGCTGGTTGTTTTGGTTGTGGACCTTTCATTGTTCTTCTGAACAACATCATCAGCACAAACTTCAGATAGAAGTAAAGCATTCGAATTTCTCCACGTTTGACCTGTAGCTTGTTCTGCTAACCTCGATCTTGACTGGTTGCTGTTGACTTTTGACTATGAAAGCTCCACAACCAAACCAGCTCAGAGAACGAAACACCACCACAATCATCCACCTGAGCTACAAGTTTTCTCCACCATCTCAAGGTTGAGGATAAAATAGGTTAAAGAATGCTGATCCGCACCTTATGCTTCATTTGGGGTAATCTTATCAATATACTTGTATTCGAAAATAAGAGGTAAACTGTTACATATTTATAAAGATAGTAATATTTATGGCTTTTATATGAAAATAATTATTATTTAAGTTAGATAGAAATGTATCTAAAGATAAAAATTTAGGGTACAAATCACCCCACTGTTATTGTCCTGTATATCTTTATCAGTGTTTTTGTGCATTACAGAATCATACACTGTATCTATAGGTTCGGGATGACCTTTAAAGTTTTGCCAAATCAATGGTGACAACCTACTCCTAATTTTAATAGACATTCATTCAATGATGATTTACACAAATAGACACATTTCAGAACAAATATATTTTGTATAGTTATCATAGTAACCTAGTACAATAGCTATTCAACAATATCGTTACAATAAATCAAAGACATTACCCTGCATATTCACATTTTCATAAGAATTCACGATCGAATTTACTGAATTCACAAGGAAAACTCTTTACTATTCAGTTATTATGAACATAAATGTTTAAATATCTGACGTAAATCATTAAAAATCGAGATAGTACTCGAAGTAACAGTATGTATTAAGTTTCTTCTCTCTATCTCTCTCACTCATACACCAATTACATGTATCATTTTATATAGAATTATCGAAATTGCGTTGCGATTTATATTAAAGTGACCTCAAAACGCAAATCTTAGCATACAGAAAAATGTTAGCCAATGATTTCTCTTACATCTGCGCAGAAGTTCACTCCGTCCTACTTTATGGCTATGAAACATGGCCAGTGAGAGTAGAAGATATTCCTAGGTTACTCGTTTTCGACCATAGGTGTCTTCAAAGGATTGCTCGTGTATCGTGAGACAACCGAGTAAATAATGCTGTTATTAGGAAACGGGCACTAGGTAAAGATGGCAGATCAATAGATGAAGTAGTGAAACTTCATCAGTTGAGGTGGTTAGGACATGTGTTGAGTATGCCTAACCACCGACTGCCTCACCGAGCTATGTTTTGCGATGCACGAATAGCTTGGACGAAATCTGAGGGCGGTCAGACCAAAGCATGGCACAAATCCATGAAGTCACTGACAAGTGGACTGAGTCATGTCGGTAGGTGTAGACTACATGGTTGGGGTCCGCGAGATGTTAGTAATCGATGGTGAATGACATGGCGCAGGTGCATCCACTCTTTGTGTTCTCTCAAATTCTTAACTTTTAAATTCTTCATCACTTTATCTTTACCTTTTTAAGTCTATTTCACTAGATTCTACATCTGGAATAATATCTTTTAAACCTAACCTCTCCGAAAACTACTAATACCTCTACCACCTCTACTACTATTGGATTTGAACTGACAGTTAAATCTCTGTGCTAACGTGGTATTGCAACATGAATTGATATACGTACGTACGAAGTTCTACGTTGCTATTGATTGATTAATTGAATGATCTCTTCCATCAAACATGGGCATTTTCTAAAGTGTGATGTACTGTGGCATTTGCTTATGTTATATATACATTCAATATATCAGCAATACCATATTACTTTTTATTGAACATTCTAATATTAACCAACTACAGTTACATGTTTTACCAGACTAAGTTCATTTCATATACTATTTTTAGTTAAAAAAAATGTCGACCTACCTCAAGTAACTATTAATATGAGTTATTATCTCAAATAAAATGATTTATTCTAATCTATAATGTAATATTTACTTCTAGTTATAAATTTGAGCAGTATAAATAGTTTCCTTCCTATCCTTGTAAACGTCCGTTATTTTCTTTTTTGGCTTATATAAATATATATATATATATATATATATATATATATATATATATATTCTAATACTTTCTAGAAAAATCCACTAATCGTTTAATATCAATAGATCAACACATGTAAGCGAACAATATTGTTTTCGATTAGATCGAATTCAACAGTGTACACCCGGCAATCACGTTCACTGGTGAAGAAGAATACAATAAGAAACTGAGTTTCCTTGACATCACACTAAGTAGACGTAATGATGGTTCACTAAGTAGAAGCGTAAATAGAAAAAATCCCAGTGTTCGCCAATACACTCACTTTTGTAGTTTTACACCTATCCGCTACAAAAGAAATTTGGTTAGATGCCTCACTAACAGAGCAAATATGATTTGTTCAGTGGATACCCTAAGTCAGGAGCTGGAATTCATCAACGACTCACTAACCGAAATTGGTTATCCCAGCGCTTTCATAAAGAAGTATATGTCTGCTGTAAAAAAGAAGTCGGTGGTTTCGACCGCCCAAAAGAAACCTTTATTTATAAAGTTACAATTCAACGGGGATGCGGCCTGCGATACTCTGCAGGACAGATTAATAAGAGTAATTAATAGAACATTTAACGCTGCCAAACTTGCATTGACATTCTCCTGTCGACCAACGATATCTACCTAAACGAAGGATAAGTTACCTGAGTTGGCCTCCGCTATGTGCATTTACAAATTCAGCTGCTCCTGTGGAGATAGCTATATCGGGTGTACTACCAGACAACTTAACCAATAAATTAGTGAACATCTCCCAGCATAGTTTTCGAAGGGTCAGTGAAAAACAATACGCAGTTCTACCTTAGCACACCTGGTAGATAGTGGTCACATTGTAGATAAATCTAGATCTTTTCGGGTCATCTATCGTATACCTCCATCATTTCCCAAAGGAGTTCGATCTCGTCTCCTACACATTGCAGAAGCCATAGGAATACGTACATTCAACCCTAATTTATGTGTTCAGAAGAATTTTGTGACACCTGTATCTCTTCCGTGGCCGGATATGACATAACTAACGATTGACATTATATATGTTTTATTTATTTTAATTTTATTATTTTTACACATCTGCTTATTACGTAATGTTTTTGATGTTTTTTGATGATTATTTGAATTCTATTCATCCACCTTTGACCTACTTTAGTTATCATATTTTATAAATTTTCCTACTACTATCGGTTCACCTATCTTCCCACCTATTCCACTTGTACTTTTGCCTTTTTCATTTCATTGTGATTATTGACTCAAATTGCCTTGATTGGTTTTAACATTTTCATTCATAAATATTCATGTATCTATTAGAGTAAAGCAGCCTGATGACGATCTAATCGAAAACAACAATATTGTTCGCTTATATGTGTTGTTCTAATTTTCACAATGGGAATCTTTAATACTCTTAATATCAATAGGTTTATTATTGGATTTATGACAACATCTGTTTATTAGAATGAAGTAAAACAGTAAAATGTCATAGCATTTTCATAAAACATGAAACATTATGTAACTTATCATTCTCAATGTTCGTTTAGTAAAAAGTTTCATTCAAAACAAAGACAAATTTTTGCAAAAATCATCACAAAAGCCTACAGGTAAACTAGGTCTAAACCAAGAGTCACATACCAAATAATATGAATATGTATCGTGTAACTGAATGTCTCGCAGTCATCCACACGTCATATGAGTATTGTTTTGATATGCGACCGTCCAAAAGTTGCTTTGTTCAAACGCATTCGAGTTCTTTAGATGACTAAGTTTTACGTTTTCTAAAGTGAGAAACTGCAATGAAATCAGGCGTCCATGTCTTACATTTTTATTTCAACGAAACTATCGATGATACGTAGTTACAAGAGTTAATCAAAGCAACAATTTTAATCAGTTCAAATTGCTAATACATGAAGAAGATTTCCAAATGTAACTATTAAGGTTTCGTGATGACGGAGATAGTTTGTAGCTCCGATTGATGACTGTGGTGGAGTTTCATTGTCTAAGCTGCATGTTTCACAGGTAGAACTTTCATTGTTCTTCTGAACAACTTCATCATCAGTTAGCGGGAAAATGCCATCACATTCCTTCCCTCATATCAATACATATAGACAACTATGGTAATACATTCTATTGGAACAATGTTGAAATAGATTACGGAGGATACTATGGAACTTTCAGAGGTTTGGCACTCACGTCAATCAGCAATCAACAAACACATCGACAGTGACCGATCAGGAAATGTATTGACAAGCGTGGGATTAAGATATAGATCAAAGTGGGAAACATTCAAGGCGGTTGCAATGCAGATGTGAGGGCGCGGATCGGCAAAGCAGAGAATGCATTTCTACAACTGAAAAATAACTGGAACTTTAAACAAATATCAATCAACACCAAAATCAGGATTTTCAATACAAATGTAAAGACAGTTCTACTGTATGGAGCAGAAACTTGGGGAACTACCAAAGCCATCATCCAGGAGATAAAAGTATTCCTTTTCTATGCAAAATACTTCGGGTTCGTTTGTCAGACAAGATCAGAAACAACCTACTGTGGAAGAGAACAAATCAGATTCCAGTGGGGGAGGAAATCAGGAAGAAACGGTGGAAGTGGATAGGACATACACTACGAAAATCACCTAACTGCGTCAATGGACAAACTCTCAACGTAAAAGGAAAAGACGAAGACCAAGGAACAAATTACGCCGAGAAATCGAGAATGAACAAAAATTGGGCAGAACTGAAAAAGAGAAGCCTAGGACAGAGTTGATCGGAGAAAACTGATCGGCGGCCTATTCTCCATTGGGGGTAACAGGCGTAAGTAAGTAAGTAATTAGGTGACACAAATAAGTTGTTAGCTTCTTAAACATACCATTTCTAACAGTCTAAGTATAAAATTATGTATTTCAAATGGAAAATTCAATCAATTGTCCTCAGATTTTTGAATAACATTGTTTTTACGGGTAAATAGAACAAATTAAAAATTTCATTTATACCAACCAACCATTGAATGGCGAACTCTATTTTTTCCTTTCAATGAAACTCACTTGTGAAAAGATTCTTTTTTTCAAAAATATTTATTGCATTATTATTATACTCTTATTACAACAACTGTTAAATTGAATCATTTACTTGTTGTAGTAAATAAATCTTTTGTTTTCAATACTATTAAAAACTTTTGAATGACAGTTCCTATTGTTATAATTACTTATTTATTATGTACAATTCATGTGAAAATTATTGAACAAAGAATTTAAAAATAACAAAATGAATTTTTACTAAGGTTTAAGGTAGGAATAAATTGAAATGCTTACGAATAAATTTAGGTTTGGTTAGTTAGTTGTTGTTGTTCTAAACAACAGCAACAAAAAAACGTTTAGAAAAGATTAAGCAATATAATTCTTTAAATTACCGTGAAGTTTTTGAGTGTCATTAGCAGTAAGTAAAACTGAGATTAAGTTAGATGGTTTTCAGAACAATCATGAAGCAACAGATAAAGATTATGCTTTTATTTCGAAACACATATTGGAATGTAGAACATAGAATGAGTGAGGTCGCGCGAAATTTTTAGGTTGATCAGAGTTAGTCAATAACACTGTTGGATGCCAGCGCAGTGGTCCAGAGATTAGGCGTTCGTGCATTAGACCGATGGTCCTATGTTCGAATCCCGTGAGGCGCAGGTGTCGTGGATGCGCACCGCTGATGAGTCCCATACCAAGACGAAACGGCCATCTTTCAGTGCTACCAGGTTTCTATTAATGGTCTAATCTCCATAACTCTTTGTCACTGAATTCTTCCGTCATAAATAAAGTTAAATGAAACAAGGGAATAGGCATGCCACAAATAAACTATATCGTTTACAATTAAAATGTGTAAATTTTAGAATTTTTTCGTTCAGATGGAGTTGTTGATGTTAAAATGACTTGTGTATAATATTTGGACTAATCGAAAATGGAAACACCATTTAAGATGATGAGATAATTTTTTCAACTTCTTATGGTAAAAAGTAATGTAGTAACAAATAAGAAAGATTACATGATTACAGATTTCGTGATTTTTTTTTTATGTTCAAAAAAGGATTACAATGAAGTCACTGGTTTATATTACCTTCGTCAAACACTCCGCCTTTTAATAAATATGTTAAGGTTGGATAAAATTTATCAAATCAGTTTAACTGAAATATCTAATCTCATGGATAATCTGACTGTGTTGTTCCCTAATCCATTACATGGGTTTCCTGGTGATTTGAATTCAATCGGTTGTTGTAATAAATTGATAGCAGTAGAAGTCTACCTTCATCCAACTAAGTTGTCAGAGCTTTATGCACACAAAAATATAAATTATATTGAGAAACATATACATCTTAACAATTCTGTCGTTAGTTTTATCCAGTTTCGTTTATATGGATGACAATGTTTCCGAATGAAAAGTCACTAAACTGTTAAGATAGTCTAAACAGTTTGTTAATAAATATTCTTTTACCAGTTGTGATTACATGTAATTATATTCGATGTCCAGATTTACTATTCTCTTATAAACTGGATATGTTAATATGATCTGCAGTAGGTGTTTGGTTCAGGTTTATCCCCTATTGGTTGGTAATAGTAATTAAAACTTCATACCTGCTGAAATATACTAGCACGGTGTATACATGCTGTTAATATTCCAACGTATATACAGCCAACTGCCTAACTTTCAAGTTATACGATATGATTTCAGTTGGGACTGACCATACGTTTAATTCTCAATTACCCATATTCACCATTATATTAGTATTACTCAAAAACCAATAATTTCTAAATACTGTTATGTCATTCAATCTATAAATCATGGTTTTTAAGTAGGCTCACATGTTATTCTTTTTTTTTCCTCATATTACTCGTTTATTGACTTTATACAACAATCAACCAATAATACATAAAATGTTTTAACATTGGAACAAAGAAAACACCCAGATCAATTAATCATTATCTGGTGATAGATATTTTAATTTCACAGTAGACATTGGCTTTAACGCAAATAATGTAAAAACTTAAATTTAAGTTATTTTTAGTCATAAGCAATGGATTGACTCTTGGAATTCATACAAATAAAACTTGACCACAGAACAATGAATGATATGTATGCATTTACATTTTGAAAAAATGACAAATGTTCAATTCAACCTTGACAGCATCATCTACTAACAATTCTTAATTCAATACATGGTTAATGAGAAGTTATAAACTAAAAGTGAAATCACACATTTCATCTAGTGATACATCATATACCATATCGAATTCCCCGTTGGAGAAAGGATTTTCACGAGCTTCATCAGCTGATTCAGTATTTGATGATATTTCATCGAAAGCACATGCTTTATTTTCAATTCTTGATGAAGAACAAAAAGGATATTTGGATAATCAAATGTTATTGAAAGTGTGTGATTCCGGTTTGACAGAAACACAAATTAATGATTTAATTCAACATTTAGATCATGATGGAGATGGAAAAATTAGTGCAGATGATTTTATGCTTGGTTTGCGTACATTAGCTAAACGGAATAGTTTAATTCGTGCTTCACTTAGAGCTACTACTGTAACAAATTCTACGCGTTATCTAATTAAAAGATGTTCAGAGTCAACAAATGTATCGAGACATCGTTTGGAATCAAGTGGAACGAATTCAGATATTGATGAATCTTTGTGTAGTAATTATCAATTGAAATCAGATATAACAACTATTCAATCGATAAGAATTAGAACAAAAACTAGACAGAGACTTCATCGACGACTACTGACTTCGTTGTTCTCTCAACAAACGAATTCTTTACCGATTAGTCCACTGTCACCACAGTTATTTGATATTAGTTCTGTTGATGAATGTTTGAAATGTGTAACCAGGTGAGTTTATGTTTATGCGTTTGAACACTTTTAGACTTCTTTGGTATATTCGCTTTGAGATTATTCTATCTAATTTGATGAGCTACTGTATAGGACATTTTTGTAACTATTATTCATCATTTCTGTTGATGGAGAAATAATTTTTAGCAAAATACTATTAGATTAATGCATAGTCTTTCAATATTACTATGAAGTTACAGGAAAATCATGTATTACGATTTAAAATCAATTACAAAATTAGTAATTATTTCGGTAAATAGTTGGAAAATAATACTTAGTTACTTACTTACGCCTGTTACCCTCAATAGAGCATAGGCCGCTACTGGCGGGCTTGGGACTTGCAGTAGCCCCGAAGGTTCGATTGGCGGAGTTAGTTGGGAAATAATGTAACAATCTAAAACAATGATTTGAGTAATTAATTACCCTAGGACATAAAACATGAGTATTTGTACAAATAACAAGAGTAAAGTGTAAGCTGCCATTTGACTATAGTCAGTAAATAAAATGTCAATTGATGATATCGAACATGCATTTAATATCTAGAAAAATTCTAGCAGATAAAACATTCTACAATTAGATCCATTTCCTCAGGATTTATCTCAAATCATTTTTCAGTTAGTATAAACAACTATTCAGTCAGCTAGTTCACTCTAAACAATACCCTTTATTATATACGATCAATTGTTTTTAGTCATTTCTGTTTGAACAATATACTTACTTACTTACTTAGAACATAGGCCAATGACCAGTTTACCCCAACCTACTCTGTCCTCGGCCTTCCTGTATAGTTCTGTCCAATTTTTGTTCATTCTTCTCATGTTTATCTCCATTTTTCAGAGTAATGTATTACTTGGCCTTCCTCTTTTCCTTTGACCTTGTGTATACCGAATGAGGGCTTGTCTTGTAATGTAGAAGGAGCAAAGGAAAAAAATAATTCTAACAATTTAGAGGTCTAATCATATTCTAAACATGACTAAATTTTATTTTCGGGCAGAGTTTTGGAGGTTTGTGTTTTTACACATTTTGAAATCATCAATCAATCATTGTTAGACACCGTTGGATGTCGGCCCAGTGGCCAGCTCGTTAGGCGTTTGCGCGTAATACCAAAGGTCCCGGGTTCGAATCCTGCAAGGTGCAGGGGTCGTGGGTGCGCACTGCCACTGATGAGTCCCATACCAGAAAGAAACGGCCGTCTTTCAGTGCTTCCAGTTTTCTAATGGTAGTCTAACAATGACTGATTGATGATTTCAAATGTGTAAATTATATTTGCCTAATGAAAACTGTAAAACTATCTGCATTTATTCAAGCTGCTGTAGAATTGAATGTTACTATTCAAACACTGACATGAATTTTTTTCTCTAGTGCATAAATTCAAAATATTTCACTTATATCGAGTACTCTTAGTTAGAAAATAAAAATATTTTATACAGTATCGTTAAGCTTGTTTTATTAAAATGAACTAAACCATTCATGTTTCATGAGCAACATATTACGCTAGGTTAGTAAATTATATATATATATATATATATATGAGTAAACTTTGCAGAAAAACAAAATCGTAACAAAATTTCATCAAGTTATATTTAAAGTAAATAAAATATTTCATCAATAACAATAATTTGCTTTCAAACATCTTTAGCCAAACAATTTTATCGATTTGTAATTTCATTTAATTACTCTTCATACATTCAAGCTTTAATTATTCACAAACAACATAATTACGAGAAACTATTTTCGATAAACACGAACAATTATTTTTTGGCAAAATACCTTTGAAAAAGTCATAAACTATTAATCTATAAAAAAATATTTATGAACAGGATATATAGATATATATAGATTTGTTTACTGTTCATGGTTTGATAAAATGAGGCCAATTATTACTTTACTCGTAGCGTAAGTTAGTTAACTTTTTGACAGTCACATGGTACAGAATAATAAAATTATTAAGAAGAAACTAACATTCATTTAGTGGTTTACAATAATTATTGGACATACTGTTCGATGTCATATCTGAAGCCTAACGTTTGTGTTATCAATAAATCGAGTAACATTCACTAGCTCGTTACACTATAAAACCAAAAAATAATGTTAAATAAAACCTGACGATGTAGATTTAAAGAAATTGCTTTGCTTAATAGGATTCTGTTACGGTAATCTTTCCTGACTATCAAACGTTTAGAGTAAGAATGTCGAAAGAAAGTATTATTTAACAGTACCCAAAAGTTCCCGTATATTACTAGAGAAAACAAATGTTTCATGAGCAAACAGTGGTTATTAAGCAGACAATTATCACTGCGATAGAAAAAGTATTTCAATTCGTTGATATAAACAGTATTACTGAAAAAAGTGTCAACAGACCAATATCTTGTAATTTCACTAAATTTTCATTTTAAGAAAACTGAATGTATTCAGCGTATCGTAAGGTTGGTAATACAAATCAATCAATCTCTAGACTAACTTAGCCAGTTAACACCAAACTACTACAGCTGTAGCAGAAAGTAATTCCCATTTAAACAATAAAAACATGAAGTTGAGCAAACGGGTGTCTTTTCAACAAATTTCTTAAGAAGCTATTCCATTGTAAAACTTCATTAGAAATTCTTTAATATTAGCTACTTACAAGTAAAAAAAATCATATAAAAGAGCAGAACTTCCGTATGTTCACTATCCACAGATCATCAACTTTGTGAAATAAAATTACAACATTGTACACAACGGAAGTGACATTATTTCTTATTAGAAAGCTAAGAAGGATTCTTCTATAATTTAAGAGCTGGGTTTTGAAGAGAAATTCTCATCTGTACAATACTTTATAACATAATGATTTAACTTAATAAAAAATACAACCTTCCTATGCATTTTAATTTCATTTCAGTTGTCTCAATTTTTTCAAATATGTAAATTAAACAGAAAAGCTTTTACTGTATGTATATTTAAGCATCATCAAGGCATGTGTTGAAACAAAAAACGGCTGTCAGTCTCAACAGTTTTCAAATGCCTAGAAGTTCATTCAATAGACAGACATTATGACTGGTTAGTGTCAGTAAATAAGTTTGAAATTTCCACTTTCTTGCATTCGCCTCTAATCTTACTGGGTTTATTGATTGAAAGACTAAACCTATATCATTAAGATTATAAATTATTGGATAACCTGATTCCACACCATTCAAAAGTCATATTGAGTACTTTTTATTTTGTGTTCATATCCAAGAATTCACCATTTCCTCAATTCAAATACATATTTAGTTCAGTGTCAGTGTAAATAACTATTAGTTTTTAAAACTATATGGTATTTAATTGATAGTTGATATTTAGATATGTATAACAGAAGACTGGATTAATTGTCCCATAGTTAGTGTGTCCATTGAAGCGGTCAATATTAACCATCAAAGCATTTTTGTCTAGTTAGCACTGAAAAATGACAGAAATTTACAAAAAACCTAATTGTAATCCTTGGAATTTTTCCTAGGATCCTTTAATATCAAACGGCGTCGTAGAGTTTGAAATGCAACTCGAACGATATATAGTCTGGAGTCATTACTATGATAACTATTATTTGTACATGTTTCAATTCACGCTTAGTATTACGCCAATCGAACACACGTTGTCATTGGAATATTCACCAGATTAGTGTCAAAATAACAAAACAATAAAATAACGCATTAGTAAACAGAAAATATTAATATTTTTAACTGATTCAATGACTTCATAGTCACTACAACATCCTGGTAAATACAACATAGTTAAATAAAGTAATTTTTGTACTATGAACTGGTGATGGAATTTGACCAACACGAAAACGGACTCAACAAAATATAATGCTAATCTATTCTCAGTAATAAATCACACATAAATATCCTATTCCGATAGGAAGTCAGCTGCCACCCAAGTAGCTCAATGTTAATTTATCAAACTATCAAAATAAGTGACACGAGATTAAGTGTATTCGAAAACACCAGTTCCAATAAGAGGGTCCAAGGTTTTCTGTCGACTATATCTAAGTACCTAAATTCTGAAAGAAACCAAGAATAAAATCAAATTTGACTTTTACTAACATTAAATTCAAATGATCAAGTTAATGACTACTACAATTTCTATGCATCAATTTCTCTTATATCCGACAAACGGCATAATGAACATTCATCTCTGTTGTTATTAATTTCCGATGTGCTATATGTCTTCATTTTGAGAATGAATGTTTCATAGTTCACATTCCTTGTTAAAATTTACAAACACTGCTTTACTGTGATTACTCAGTTATTTTATGAATCAATATTGACATAGTTTGCAATTAATCACAGAAATACACTTCCGTGTAGTTGTACAGATCATATATTCAAAAACGTTAATATAAAATACTTATTACGTAACCTGTTTCAGTCACAGATTTAGGTTGTGAAATGAGCAAAAATTCATTAAAATTGATCGACTATTTCAAACTGATGCATTGACTAAAATTACTCAACGGATAAACCCCAAAAAACCTCTTTTCTTCACTTAAAAACTGGAACAACCACTGGGCTTCGATTTATTTGTAGTTTTTCTTTTCAAAAAGATAAAATAAGTTTCTTTTAGTTAAACTTGTTGTTTACTTCTAACTTCAACTTTATACTTGTTGGTGACGTTACATCCCCAGAACTGGATCCATAAAGGTCATAATTTTTGGATTTTATTCATGGGCTGATCAGTTGGCCTTGAGACCACATTTCACACCAGGAATATCCTAGGCTGTGATTGGTTACTGTGTTATTTTAGTGTGCTTTTTTGTATGACTCTCCCGTGGACCTTACTATGATGTATGAAAAAAAGCAATTTGTGTGCTTGAGATCATTGTGTTTGCTGAGTGTTTGTAGAATACACTTTCTAAGCTATGTATCAAGACTTTTTTGTCAGTTCCTTGGAGTCAACAGATCAGAGTAGCCTGCCCAGACACTGGTTCATTGTCTCATCTTCGTTTATCAACTAAGGGGAAATCGTAATTAAAAATGCAAAAACTCACTTTTTTATAATAAATGTATCAAAGTCTTGCGTGTTAAGCTAATTATATCACTTTAATACATATAGCATATGTCTGTAAGTCAAATTATATTATTCATTGTTGATTCAAATTTTACATCTAGTTGAATATAAAACATCTGTTAAAAATTATTATAAACACTAAAAAAGAAAGATACAAATCATTTGATATATATTATTCAATCAGATTAAAAATTTACTGTGTTCAACGTTTCAATGAATTCATCCTTTTTTTCTTGATAAGATGTTTACTTTGCTAGCGTGTATTTGTCACGGAAATCAATTTCACACAGATTATAAATCAAAACTTTATTCAGTTCGAGTTTTTTTTATGTAAACATGTGCAAACATATATATTTAGTAAATTAAATTGATTAGATTTTGAATTAGATTCTATCTTAGCTGTGTAGTGTAACTTAGTCGTTATTTAGGATTTCTTCGCCAATAGTCTGGCTGATATAATTGAAAAACTATTTACAAATGTTATTTATGGTCCTCTGCGTATTGAAGTGTATTCTTATTTGTTTTCTGTAAAAACTGCTTACAGTAAAAATGTAAACAACTAATCATAGTAGCATAATGTTGAAGTTCCTAAGCATTTCGTCTAGTGGTGTATAGAAATCAGTTTTTCCTGTAATTGGTTTTCATCAGTGTTTCACATAAAGATTAGTAAACTATGAGAAAACCAGAATGAACTCAACAATATTTTTATTTCTGCATGTATTCGTTTATTGATCTAAACACATTCAATATTGTTACAAAGGGACACCTGAAAATGTATGCATCACAGAAATAATAGAATTCATAAGTGAACTGGTATACTTTAAGGGTGGCCAAACCGAAATTGATTATTTTCTTAGGAGGGCCATTCATCAAAACTTTGACCCAATGGTCTAATCTACAAGAGGGGAGAGCATTGGTAGCCCATGACCAACATTGAGTTACTATTTCATTGACATGATTAATTTTGAACAATAGTTTCAAGAAACAGGCTTTATCGCTGTTGTTAGTGAATCAGTGAAATACAGTGGACTCAGGCTTGACAACAAAGACTAGCTCCAGGAGAGCTGCTGTTTAACTCCAGTCATGAAGAAGAAAATGTTCTATATACACAAAGAGTTTTAGTGATGATATCCAAACACTCACAAAAAGCTCTGAGAAGATGGGAATCTCATGGACCTACGATCACTAAAGCATCCTTAAAAAGAAAGAAGGACGGTATTAACATGAACGGTATCCAACGCTATGCGTCTTGCAACGATAATAACGAAGACTTTAAATCTCAACTCTATGGGAGGCTCACAGACTCATTCGAAGTGAAGAGCGGTGTTAGACAAGGTTGTTTACTCTCACTCTTTCTCTTTCTCTTGGTGGTTGACCGCAATATAAAACTTCAACATCTGGAGAGAAGCACGAAATTCAGTGGACAGTTACGATGCAGCTGAACGATTCGGACTTTGCAAATGATCTAGCTCTTCTATCGCACACGCAACAAGAAATGAAAGAGAAGATGACAAATGCAGCAGCGACCACAGTAGCAAAGTGGATCTGATGTAGATATGAAGGCACGGATCGGCACAGCAAGGGCTGTATTCTATAATTGAACAACATCTGAAACTCAAAACAATAACTACAAAAGCTATCATCCAGAAGATAGAAGTGTTTATTAACTGTGGTCTACGCAGGATACTTCGGATCCATTGGCCAGACGCCATCAGCAACAACATACTATGGGAGGGAACAAACCAGATTCCAGTGAAAGAAGAGAAAGGAGAAAAGGCTGGAAAAAGTGTTATGTATAGCGTTATGTCATTAACTAACTAAGATATTATGAAGTCACCTCAGCACGGTCTAATTGATATTGACTTTGTTCATTTGTCAAATATACATATTATTGAAGAGCCTTGATGGGGGCCTAATTGCAAGGAAGTAATTCCTCGCTCATATTGTCTTATTTATATCTCAGTAGGAATATTTAATGAAAGGAAAAGCAATTTTCATCATATATATATATATATATATATATATATATATATATATATATATATATATATAAATGTCATTGATTCATTTACTCTGTTTTAGCCAAGAACATCTTTACGAACTATACCATATTCTGTTATATGAAAATCCAAGTTTATCTAAAATGTATGAAACTGTCCTAGTGGATGTAGTCAGATATATTCAAAAGTCTCGTGAAATACAATTACGATTAGAAAAGCAGATTGAAAGGTAAGATTTATTATATTGATAAATAATTTTGATAAGGAGTTCGGTGATTGATTATTTTTCTTGCTAGACTTTGAATTTTTATCTAAAACTTAACAAAACTTACGCCTGACTTGCAAAATGTCCTAAACATACGATACAAACCTGTACGTTATAAAATGTTTCAAGTGTAAATGTGAGTTCCCTAAAGTTGAAATCAGGAAGACGTCTCTTAAATATATTTGATTGTTTTCACTTGATAGTGTCCTCATGGTTGAACTATTTTTTGAGTTACATAACATGTTCGTTCTTTTATATTATTCAATTTTGAGAGATCATTCATAAAGAATAAAGTGAATTTACTCTGTTAGGTTTGTGTCAGTGGCTTACAACCTATATTATTTGAAAATCATAAGTACGACTGGGTTGTACATACTTACAAATCATGTCTGTGTGTGACCATAGCAACTTCCAACCAGGGATATATATGTAAGTACTTTGAAAACACTTGGTAATTTGAACAGTTTGATATAATACAGGTCAAACGCAACTGAAAATCAAGATGAGGTCATATTATTTAGTTTAAATCTTTATTCTAATCCTTATTCTCATTGCTTATTAAGAAAATCAAAGGAATCTGAAATATTACGTGATCAAGTTCCTTGCAAGTTTGAATAATGTTACCATAGCGATATTAGGGAAAATAAATTTTACAGCCAAGTTAACCGAAAAAGGCCAAAAATTTAAGAATGGAGAAAATTTAGAAATTAAACGAACTGTAAATGTTGCGGACGTTAGATCCCCAGAATTCACTTGATTGAGGTCCTCATTTTAGATTTTATGGTTTCGCGCATAGGCTGATCAGTTCACCTTGAGATTACATATGCCATCCGGAAAATCCTTAACTGTTATTGATTGATGTATTATTTTAGTACGCTAGTTTTGTGGCTTTCTCAAGGGCGTTTCTATGATGTATAAATAAACTCGATTTGTGTGCTTGTGAACCTCATATTTTCTGAGTGCGCGTAGAATACACTTTCTACGCCATATCAAGACTTCTTCCTCTACTTAGTAGGACCTCAGGACTCTCGGATCAGAGTAACCTATCGTGCCACTGGATAATTTGTCTTCACTCTCGTTTACCGACTACGGTGAACTCAAAATAATTTCAAGCATATCAATTAACGAGCATAACCGTAAAATCATAAGAGTCAATTAAGTTCTTTACTATGAAACAGACCTACCAACATTCTTGTAAATACGAATCTAACATCGTTTATAGAACTCTTGGTTCTGGTATGCTTGTTATGATGCATAGTACTGAAAGTTAAGTGATAAAAAAAGCTCTGAAATCTATTAACTACTCAAATCAGTCATAATGTTTGAGATACAATAAAGTACGTAAAATCTTATTTTAGTCATATGAGTTAAGATTTGTTAGTTTTGAAAATATATATATTTAATTGTGAATAGATAAAAGCTAGTTAATAGAATTTTGTTGATTATGAATACTCTTTAAGGAAATATCGATTTTTTCTTTTCATGTATAAAAGTTTATCACATTTTTGAAGAGAGAAAACTTTTATAGTGACCTAAATGAATCGGAATTTAAGCTTAATATACACGTTAAATCACCTTCAGCTTAACAAAAAGAAGGCGACCTTACAGCTTATAAACAACTGAATTTTTTTACATATATTTATTCGATAAGCATCATGTGATATCAGAGGATCTTAGTGTATCAAGATGATCAGCTTGATGAAAGCTTGATGAAATATGATGAATTCTTTGGCATTTTATCATACTGTAATCATAATTATTTTTTTATTATTTCGTCTAACATTTAAGGTCAGGTTTAAATCTTTTATTTCTCAATGAACCATTACAACATCTACTGACCATCTCAATGATGACTGATTCCTGAGCTACAGCTTAGCATGTGTTTTGTAAGTGACAACATTTAAGAAAATATATTCGTAATACTCGAATATGAAACAATAGTGACAGACAATTGCTACTAGTAGGTAGTTAAAAAATGTATTTAAGTAAACAGTAAATTATTTTGGGGCAGAGTTTTAGAGGTTTGTGTTTTTACACATTTGAAATCATCTATCAATCATTGTCAAACCACCATCAGAAACCTGGAAACACTGGACGGTCTTTTCGTCCTGGTATGGGACTCATCAGTGGCAGTGCGCATCCACGTCTCCTGCACCGCTCAGGATTCGAACCTGGGACCTTCGGTATTGTGCGTGACCGACGGAGTTCATCCCTGTTGGATGTAGGCAGTAACTACCAAAGACAAATGGGTGAGGCAGCGCAATATCTCTAGATCAATTACAGTTAGACATTAACACCGTTGGATGTTGGCCCAGTTGTCCGTCCAGTGCTTCCAGGTTTCTAATGGTTGTCTAACAATGATTGATTGATGAGTAAATTATTTGCTGCTTAATTTGTTCCATGACTTTCTCAGCTGTTGAGTAAGATAAGATTGTAATTGAAGAGTTGAGTTTCAGATCTTTAAACGAATTACAAGTTTCTATTATAAAGAAACTACGGAAATTGTGAATGGGGTCATATCTGCTGTAATGTTTCAATTCAATTTCACATTAGCCAGAGAAAGTACTTGTTCCTGAACCTATAAAAATATCTGTTACTTATTTATATGTTCTTCAAGAAATATATATGTATATATATCTGGAACTCCAAAAAAATATCGATAAACACCAAAATCAGGATTTTCAACACAAATGTCAAGACAGTTCTATTGTATGGAGCGGAAACTTGGAGAACTACCAAAACCATCATCCACAAGATACAAGTATTTATGAACCTTTGTTTACGAAAAATACTTCAGATTCGTTGGTCAGACATTATCAGCAACAACTTACTGTGGGAAAGAACAAACCAGATTCCAATGGAGGAGGAAATCAAGAAGAAGCGGTGGAAGTAGATAGGACACACACTACAAAAAGCACCTAACTGCATCACAAGACAAGCCCTAGCTTAGAACCCTCAGGGTAAAAGAAAAAGAGCAAGACCAAGGGACACAATACGCTGAAAAATAGAGAATGACCTGAGAAGAATCAACAAAAACTGATAAGAACTGGAAAGGGAAGCTCAGGACAGATTTGATTGGAGAAAACTAATGGGCGGTCTATGCTCTATTAGGGGTAACAGGCGTAAGTAAGTAAGTTTTCAAGAAATAGAGGGGCTCAGGGATCAAATTATTCAATTTTCATCCCCTAACACCTAATTTGATTTTGAAAACTGCCCAACGTAAATACACTAATAGTGTGGCTTAAAGTTACGTATATGAATCTGTATCTAATAAACGATTTAAAAAGTCTATGTATATTTCCACATTTATTCTACAAATCGCTAAACATCAAATATATAGGAAATAATTTTAATATACTTACAAAGTATTTCCAATATACTTTAGCATTAATCCACCAATAGAGAGAAAAGTTTCCTTTAGTCAAGTTTATTTGGTCAAGGACAATAAACACAACAAAATCACTTAATTAATTGTCTTCCCTTTTTCTATTGTATACATTTCTTAATTATTTTCAGAAAATCACATTATCACATTATCAATAACATTCATCTTTATGTATTGATAATGACTATTGATTAGTGAACATTGTATTGTATGTGCATAGTCAGTCAATAAAGAGTAATTGACCTGTATACCCTTATTATTTTTATTATTACTCAATGTATTATTACTCTATCTAATTTCAATAAAAGAAAGAAGTAAGAAATAGATTTACTCAGTCAATAATAAACTAATAATTTTTGTTAGATTTATTAATTTGATGTTACTTTTAGGTCAATGTAGGGTAGATTTTCTTTGAAGATTTAACAATTAACTCCTTTTTTTTGAATCATTGAATCTAGACTGTTTTTTGTTTTCCCCACCTTTGTTCCTGTTTTTTTTTGTTTTTTTTTTCTTGTTAATTATGATAAAACTGTTTGAACTTTATTCAATGTACAATAGAAAACTTTTGAATCTCTCCTCTAACAATGACTTTTATTTCATTTCACTTCTAAATGAAATGTAACTGGCTAATTTACATAATGTTTATAATAACATTGAACATTGATTGTTTCATGAAGTGATTTATGCACTTGTAATTCTAATGTTTACTTTCTGTGTATTTTTACTGCTAATACTATTCCTTTCATATAGGTGCTTTGAATGTGAGGATGATCAAAAATTCAGTAAATTCAAAGGATATTGATAATTTACCGATTAAACGTTTTGCATTAGAATATTATGGAGATGATAGTTTTGCCTTGAAATCCTGAATGTATCATTGTCAGACCGCTATTAGGAACCTGAAAGCATTGGGCGACCGCTTCGTCCTGGTATGGGACTCATCAGTAGAGCGCATCCATGATTCCTGTTGCTAGCAGGATTCGAGCATGTGAATGCCTAACCTCTAGACCATTGAGCCGGCGTTCAGCAGTGTTATTTTCAAACTTTAATCAAAATAAAGGATGTTGCGGCAACCTAACCCACTGCCTTTTGTAGTTACTGCCTACTACCGACAGGGTTGAACTCCACTTGTCACGTCTTCTCATTAGGACTATGAGAACCTCATAAAACTAGTCACTAGTGAGCATACTCCTTGATTTCGCATGATAGTATTATGGGGATGCAGGCTCAGTGGTTCAGAAGTTAAGCATTCGCTCGCTAGCTTAAAGGTCCTGTTAGTATCAGAAGTCGTGGACACGCTCTGTTGGTGAATTTCATATCAAGAAGAAATGACCGTCCAATTCTTCCAGGTTTCTAATGATGGTATAACAATGAGTAATTCATGATTTCAATGTTCTCTAATGAACAAGAATTAGATTGTTTAGCTTTACAAAGCTGTATTTGTTATTCAAAGCTGAGAACAAAATGGTAATAACACTTCCATTTGTTTAACATTCGTTTACACATATTCGGTGAACAATGTTACTTCTTATATCAACAGATGCATATTACCTTGTTTCCGTTAAAAAGCCCTAAAAGTTTATTTATCCAGATGATTAACAAACTCTTGTTCACTGCTATTAACTAATTTAAACAAAAACTCACACTGATAATGATTAGACATCAACAGGTGAAATTCAAAGGTAAACTTGTTGTTTAATAGATAAAGAGTTAACTATTTCATCGAATATTCTATTTGATTTCAAATATTTCTGTAAAAAAAACTTATGCTTTTCAAAATTCTTTTTTTTTTCATAATTTTTCGATAAAGTTTAATTTATGTCCATAATAATTTAACATCATTTTGACAGTAATCGTAATAGTTTTGAATGTTGCGAGATTTTAAATATATATTCACACTTTCTTTCTTATTTAGTGAACGTTTGAAGCATAGTGAGGCAATATTTCATTTATCCGAAGAAGTAGATAATCAAGTTAAACTTGCCGAAGAAACAGCACGAATTAAAGAAAGAGAAATAGCAATGAAAAAATTCTCTGCTGAACTTGAAACTAAATCTATACAAATTAAACAATTGAAGACAAGAATCAAATCACTTGAAGAGGTTGGAATAAGTTTTCAATTTGTATTGTACTATAGCCTCGATTTTGTTTCTTTTCTAGGTTATTAAAATTTTTTTAAAATCCTTTTTATCAAGTCATGCACGCAGCACCAAATTATATTGACATTTACAGTTATATAGAACGAGCAAACTAAAACATGGCTAAAAATCCATGAAGTCACTGACAACTGGACTAAGTCATATTGATAAGTTTGGGTCCTCGAGACAATAGTAACCGATGATTAGAGATATTGAATGACATGGCTCTTTTGCAATGTCTTAGGTGCATCCATTCTTTGTGTCCTTTCAAATTCCAATCTAAATTCCTCACAACCTTTTGTCTTTTTTGGAATTTATTTCACTTGGATATAGGCCTTTAATCATATATTTGACCCTTAATCTTTCCGAATATTGCTCATACTTCTAATACCTCTACAACTATGAGATTTGAATGGACAATTCAATATCTGTGTACTAATGTGGTACGGCGATTTAAACTGATGTTTATACGTTGTAGCTGACTGACTGACTTGCAATTATATATGCACAATAATTACAAAATCTTGGTTTTTTCCATGCTGTAGAGTTAAAATTGTTCAGTTGGAATTTTTAACCGCATAATTAAGCTGATACGAATTGTCAAGTTTGCTCCTTTGAAAATTTCGATCATGTAAACTTGGGAAATTTTGAATAACCAAACATTTTCTTTGAAGCTAGTTTATAAACTCCTATTTCTATTTAAATCGTGGTTTTTAAATGGTCTTACTTTATTTTAGTTATTTAACTGACAAATCTTTTTTATCTGCATTAACAAAAAAATTATCAGCATAAAAGCATTCATTTACTCTGAATCCATTGGGAGCATCATGTTTTATTCAAGTCTAAACATCAACATTTTGTTTTTTAATCGAATACAGTCTATCTAAACAAATGTACAAAATAGTTAAAGGTATTTTTATAAAACTAATGTCGACCCTACTTCTCTTGATAGAGAGAGAAATAGTCGATAAGCGATGTTCAAGTTATATTATGCATTGTAACTAAAGCATGAATTATCAGGAAACCATGACCAAAAGATTAGACAACAATTTCATTGTTTAGAAATGTTCTCCTTTCGTCCAAACTGAACTAATTATTATCAGTACAATACAATATAAACTGCAATATTAAATCTCAGATTTTGTAAGCTAACTATCTGAATTCTTTAGCAAAAAACAAAAAGCTTTAATCTTCAAAACTGACAAAGCTCTCATAAATAGCTTCGATACTAGTGAAATCGAAATTCTTCTCAAAACCAACAAAATTTAACTTGACAATATGCAATATATTCACAATTGAATAATATTACCAGGGTTCTTAGCTGTTCGTGAAGAGATTCTAGATATCTGCAAGTGACTCCGGTGTACCTTGGTTGACATTTGGTTTACTGATGAGCTTATCTCTTTAATAAGACAATGTTCAATCAATCAATCAGTCAACTTTTAAAGAAAACCATTTTGGTATTTGTAATTATTTAGCTTGTTGCAAGACCAGCATTATACATTTGAATCACTTACGTTACTGCATGAAGACAAAATGATTTTTGGAAGAAATTTGCCTTGAAAATAAGGATGAATATTTTTTTTTATAGGATATGGATTTTATACTTATTTTTAAAGTTTTTCAATCGGGTCTTTATGAAAGCAATATCACATTAAAATTGGATTTATGCACGCTATGTACTTTTTCATTTAAACTACCCAAACTCCTTAATTACTAATCTCTTTTCCTTAGAGGTGCACTCAGCTTTTTACTCTGTTTCCAAGCTCTCTCTGACTAAAAGATTGGATGGTTATTGTCTCGTTACAAGACCTGAAGTCATGAAGTTCAATCTCATGAAGATTTATGTATAGAGAAAAATGTATTATTAATTTGAAATAGTTTTTCAGTGTCCCATTGTGACACTAAATCCTTGAAAAATAGACCCTATTTATCATTATTCATTTTATATTTCTATAAACAAATTTTTCAGATTAACAATACAACAAATGGTTATGACAGAGTTTCCTTTTCTAAACTGTATGTTTTACTTATGGAACTTTCGTTGTTCTGCTCAACAACATCATCAGCAGCACAAACTTCTTCATCAGTTAGCAGGCACATGCCATCACATTCCTTCCCTCATATCAATATATACGGGCAACTATGGAAATAAATTCCGCTGGAACAATGTTGAAATACTGGATGGGTAGAATACGGAGAACACTATGGAACTTTCAGATGTTTGGCACTCAAGGCGGTTAGCAATCAACAGACACATCGACAATGACCGGTCAGACAATGTATAGACAAACGTAGGATCAAGAAACAGATCAAAGTGGGATACATTTAAAATAAGTGTGCAGACAACGAACAGTTTCAGGTCAGTAACAACCAATCAAGATCGAGGTTAACAGAAAAAGCCACGAGTCAGATGTAGAGAAATTCAAACACTACCTTTCCATCTGAGGTTTGTGCTGATGATGTTGTTCAGGAGGAGAACAGTGAAAACTCCACAACCGAAACATCCAACTCAGAGAACGAAAATCCATCGCAATCATCCACTTGAGCTACAGATTTTCTTCACCATCTCAACAACAAATAGCTTTTGAAAATTTTCATACATGATTCTTTTTCAAACTATCTCAGTATGATAAGACTGGAAATTCTATTTAAGTAACGGGGAATAATAAACGCTGTTATTCACCTTATGTAGACATTATTGATATCATATACATGTAATACCTTTAAACACGTACGAGTTACACCCAATGAATCGATTCTTAATAAGTTAAACCTCTACTGGTTGATATCAACCGTTTAACCATTAGGCAATGTCCAGAATAAAACATATTCCTACTATAATTTCATCACAGGTCGAGTTTTCAGATGAGCTCTTGTGTCACATCACATATTTTACCGTCATTAGTCTTGTTGGAATACTCATAGGAAGATTGTGATTTACAATTCATTGCTGATTAATTTGTTAATCATTTCGAAAATATCGATCAGTATTCTATGCTTCTTTTGTTACATATCATGATAATCGTTATCTTTTCTGTTGAATTGATAACATCATTCTCTCTAATGCATAACTGATTTGTTTCAATGGTTTGATCAGAATAATAAATGTATATTTTACAATACTAATACAACGCTGTCTATTTGTTCATATTTTATTAGCAAGATATTTATCAACACGAATCCACCAGTCAAAATATCATGCCTAAAATAATGATAGAGAAAGATGATAAACGTGTGATTAAATTACAAATGAAAGTTTTACAAGTTAATCAAGAGAATTATAATTTAGAAGAAGAATTAAATAATACACGATTACAATTGGCACAATCACGTTCAGAATTTAATGCGGTACGACAAAGTTTAAGCGATAAAAATCATGAATTGGAAGAGTAAGCTACACAAATTATTTTTTATTGGTTTATACTTATTTTATAGAAAACTCATTTCCAAGGACAATATATATTATTATGATTGCAAATGTGTAACTTAATAATATTCACAAACCCGTAATACGATTATATGTGCTCACTGGTCACTAGCTCCGTGAGAAATCTTCTCCCAGTTCTAGTGTGAAGTCGTGACCAGTGAAGTTCAACCTGTTCGGCTGTAGACAGTAACTACGGAAGACAGTGAATGAGGTTGCGCAACACCGTGAATTAATTGAAGTTAGACATTAACACCGTTAGATACCAGCTAGGTGGTCCAGAGGTTGCGCGTTCGCGTGCAAGACCGTAGGTCCTGAGTTCGAATCCTGAGAATTGCAGGAGTCGTTGATGAGGCCCGTCCCAGGATGAAATGGCTATCTGGTTCTTCTAGGTTTCTAATGTTAGTCTAACATTGATCAGTTCATGATTTCAGACACATCTACCGACCGGAAAAATCAACATACTTCTGAGTTTCTACCTATTTTGTTTTCTTTCTGGTTAAATGAATTAAATTTCATCAACTAATGTTTTTGTTAGTGATCCATGTAGTGTTAATTACAACGAACGACTAATTCAGTGTAAAGAGACATCACAAGTCAACCAAATAATGGAAACTCATAACAATACTTATATGTTAGATCTAAATGTAATTAAAATCAATAACAAAATAACTCAACCTTGTATCAAAGGTGCTCGAACAAAAATTTCAGTTTTCACATTTCATAAATAAACCTTGTTCGATCATATGTTAAATAAAATTTCTACTGCTCAAGATGCCACAATTAAAAACTTAATTACAAGGGTTCATATCATGCTTCCGGACTAGATGATTTGTTCATACAGCAGTGAGTATAGAATTAAAATTTATTAACAGGATAATGACAACCTAAACTGGACATGACGAACATGTTTAGTAAGATGAAATCTAGTAACATGAAAGCATAACTTTACTGTATTCAGAAAGCCAATTTTACAGCCCTATCTCTACATAGTCTTGAAAAAAAAGAATGGGACAAGATAACGCATTGATTGACCGATAACAGAAAGTAAAGTTTGTTTCTAGTGGTATGAATTTTATAGCGTCCATGGTATTCAGTTGTTTGACAATGAGAATAGAAATCGTGAAGGTGAAAACGGACATTTCAGGTCGAAATGACGAACAAGCTTTATATATGTTGACTTTTGAATCGGGGCAATGCTTTGAATAAAACGATCATGAAATATCTTATTAAAGCTTATTAAAGCTTTCCGTTGTGAGAATCAGATCATCATCAGCCTTCACCCAAATATATACATGAATATTTATGATGAAAATGTTAAATCAATCAAGGCATTTTATGACATAATAATCACAATGAAATAATATAGATTACGTCAATACACATAATAAGTAAATGTACAAGTTGATAGTAGGAAGACAGGTGGTAAGAATAATCAAATACAATAACAAAAAATTATATTTTTATTTTTGTTATTATTAGAATTATTTTCACATCCTGTATTTGTTGGTAACTTTCTGCCTCTTTCCGTTCATGATCTTCACTACCTAACTATGTACACACTTCTTATTACGTGATGATTTTATTGCTTTGTAAGTCTATATATCGACATTTGACCTACTATCTGCAATGCTGAACTATTTATAAAACTTTTGTTATTGTATTTTATAATTCTTACTACTAGCATCAGTACAACACCTGTCTTCCTACTATCAGCTTATACTTTTCCACCTATTATGTGTATTGACGTGATCTATTTCATTTCATTGTGTTTATTAACTCATAAATTGTCTTGATTGATTTACCATTTTCATCATAAATATTCATGTAGATATTAGAGCGAAGCCTGATGACGATCTAATCGAAAACAACACTATTGTTCACTTTGGATGTGCTGTTCTAATATCTCAGCTTGTTAAATGTACCATTGCTAGAATTATTCTCTTTAGTCTGTACTAACATTTTAACGACCTTGAGAATCACATTTAATTCAAAAAAATTCAAAAATTTAAACATAGAGATTTATTATTTTCATCCTAAAAAAATTATTTAAATAAATTATTCGCTGAAGTAATAATAATTTCAGGAAAATGTTTTTTTTTTCATTTTCACACTTTGTATAAAGTTTTTTTTAATTAAATGAAATTTCTATTAAATTTCAAAAAACAATTTTACAATTTTTGTATGATTTTTACAGACGTATGACTGCGTTAATTGAAACTGTCAAAGAGAATTCCATATTAAAACGTCAGGTTGGTGTATTACAGTAAGTAGGTTTGATTTTTTTTTTAAAAAAAACACACAATTAATCAATGACTAAATTGAAATAGCTTTTGTTTTTTAATAAAATGGAATATTATTTTTCAAACTATTACATCGGTTTGCAAACATTATAATTCAGTACTTTTTTTTCAAAAACTAAGATTTTAGAAAAATTTCGATTCCTAAATGATTCGTAGCTTTATATCCCGACCGAAGCTGCTACATTGATGTGGTGGTCGGGCTTGCCTATCGTGATGACCCAACCGAGCTATACTGGCTGGAACTTATGTTCCTGAAGGTTCTACCATAACAGGCTGGTCGATTAGAGAACAATGAGACTAAAAGCAGCTACTCAAGGTCTGAGGGCGAAGTCGTACTGCGGACTGCAGAGGGGTGTGACAGCAGTAAGGCGTTCCCCTCAGACAACCAGCATCTGCAGCGATGCTGCCTTCTCACAAGTAAGGAAGTGTTAGAAAAGGTCGACCCTAAAAATGTCACACCTCACCCTACCTCACGGATTTCCGTCTCCTTGGGTAAGGGTGCCCACTAAGGGCCTTTAAGAGCGGAGCTAATCCTCAAAAAATGTTTCATAAAAAGGCCGTGCGTGACCGGCCTCAAGCAGTTGTCCCCTGGGCTCTGCGGTCACGCAGCCAGGTCTCCAAGACCAACACTAATCTATCTTCCTTTTCAGGTCCCTCAAGAAACACCCTTCCATGGTGTGGGCAGCCGGGAAGTGACAACCGCCCTCATACCCTTAACACCACACCCGTAGCTTCATATATACTCTTTTTAATGCAGATAAAAATGAGAAAATAAGATTTAAAAAGTGCATGAGGAAATTGTGTATCGGACTAAAACTTCTCAATAACTTGATCACTGAAGTTTAACAAATGTCAGTATAATGCTATTTCAGTAAAGTCCTACCATGGTTTATTAGTAGAAAACGTTTTAGCATACTTTATTATAATTTGCTTGCTTCTATTTACTTTAGATGGATAGAAACATAGTGAAATGAATCATTGAAAATTGTCTGTCAGTTGAATCAACATTACAACAGAGTTATGTAAATTAGCTAAACAGTTGATATTAATTAATTAAGTAACAAGAAAACACCACATTAGGCATTTTTTTGAACATGTTCAGAGTAACAGATACAAAGCGTTAAAATTTTAATCTAATACAATTTACAGTATGAACCAGTCGCTCATTCAAAGTACCATAGTTTTTGTTATATGTTTTATTGTTTCAACTGAAATGATTTACTGAACATAAAATCTCATTTCTTCTAAATACAAACTCCACATACTTCTAAAGTATCTACAGTGGAATTGAGTAAATACTGTAGTACATATTCTCGTTTTTAGGATTGTTTTAAATAATTATTGATTTGTGTCAACTCTCTAGTGTGCTGAAAATCTTGTCTATAAAAAGCTTACACACTGTAACAACGATAAATTTTGTAAACTTTAAGTTGAATCCTCTAAATATTTGATATCTATATCTTTTCTTCCTTGTGGGCACCCTGAATAAAACATATTTTGTTACAAGTTGTAGTGAAAAATTGCTTGTAGATGAAGAACCTTCACAAAGTTTTATGCATATTTGTTCTGAAGACTCACCTGAATTCGCTTGATAAATATCCTTATCTTGAATTTATTTCATGGACCGATCATTCGGCCTTGAGATCACACTTCCCGCCAGGAAAAGCTTTGGCTGTGATTGTCTACTGTGTCATTTTAGTGTGCTATTTTTGTGACTGTCCCATAAACGTCTCTATAGAGTATAAATAAAAGCAACTTGAGTGCTTGGATTCATTGTGTGCTGGCTAGGGTTTTGCAGAACACACTTCCTACTCTATATTAAGACTTCTTGCTGGTACAATTGGGACAATCGGATCACAGTAGCCTCCTACCTGGACGTTGGTTCATTGTTTTGTTCTCGTAATTCTACTATGGTGAACCCGTCATAGTTTTAAGCATACCTAGAGACGAGCATAACAATAATGGAGGAATTTATTGCAATATTGTTTTATTGTAAACTTAACTTTCTTTATGGAAACTAAATGTATGATATTCAATATAAGGATGATTATTGTCCATTGAATCTTATTATCATAGTTTAAATTAAGGACTGATCGTAAACAACCGTTGAAAACAAATGCCTAACTTATTGACCTCTAATTTGGAAACTAATGATATGTGTCTAATTTCAGTGAATCTGCAATATTTTGAGATCATCTTTCATTGTATGTGGGGCAGTTTATCGATACAAATTCGCTTTAGTTTAATTTACTGTTTTAATGAACTGATGCCTTTTTTAATGTAAACATCAGGAACATATTTATATACTCTTTTAAGTTGTTTTAATTAAAGCGATAATCTTTTGGCGCTTAATATTATTCTTTTTACTTTTCAAGGGATATCAACAAAAAGTTATATGATGCTAACGATGATCTTTACAATATGTTCGAAAGTTATCCAGAATGGTTGCGTAAAGAATGGAGCGTTGAAGATATTAAACCAGCTTCCACAATGATTAATTACAGGTTTCGACGAACTTCCACAGAATTTAAACCAATCAAATCTGTTGTGAAGAAATTCGATTCACATGACTGTGAAGCAAATATTTCTGTTTGTATGTCTTGCAAAAGTGATCCGAGAGAACAGTTAAGACCATCATCATCTGGGAAACGTTATCGCACTATGTCCAAATGTGACCAACCAGACTGTTGTTGTTCAAAAATCCACGGAAAAGGAGGTAACTAATGAATTCTTCTGAATTAAAGTTGAATAAAATTAAAACTGGATAAAATTCATATTTACTTCACAACAACAGGATAATAGAAGAAGTGACCAGAAACACTATATAAAACGACATAATGCTATGTATATAAAATATACCATACACAGTTAGTATTCACAAGATCAGTATATACATTCTATTATTTGTCAAATGTCTGAGTGAACAGAGCTGATTTTACAAATATAAATGACTGATGCTTTGAAACTTTGATTCATGAACCAATATACCTGAAGGTTTTATTGAGAAACGATACTTCAAGCACCACCTTTGTGGTTTGCAAAAAAATAAAGTGATGATTCACTTATAAGTTAGCAAGCTCTTGATATGCTTTAACTTACCAAAACTTCGTGGATTGATATATTCCGTACTAAACAGATCAATCAGTCATTTGTTCAGAAGTCATTTAAAGGATAGTCAATGTGCATAAAAGGGTGAATCAAAACAACGAGATCTACGAAAATAATCAAAGCAATCAGGACAACTTGATTTGTTATCTGTGAAGTAGAGAAATATCTCCTTTCTAAATAAATTAGGTATTATTTTTCCACAAAATTGAAAGAGAAGCTTTTCAACTAAACCAACTGTCTTTATGAGCACATAATCACCAGAAATCATTGAGTATTTATATATTTATGGAAATCTAGATAAACAGGTAGTTGTTGGGGACGTTAGATCTCGAGAACTCACTTGGAAAAAAATCCTAATTATGTAATTTATTTCAGAAATTTTGCTTTTTTTATGTTTTCGCGCATAAGACGCTTAGTTAACCTTCATCTTACATTTCTCATTCGGAAAATCCTCGACTTTCATTGGTTGATGGATTATTTCAGTATATTATTTTTGTGGATCTCTCAAAAGCGCTTCTGTCATTGTATGAGTAAGCTTGATTCGTGCACTTAGAATACATTCTCTACCCCTTATCAACACTTCTTGCTTTTGCTAGCGTGGCCTGAGACAGAGGATTAGAATAGCCTATCGTGTCACTGCATCATTTATCTGCGTTCCGTTTACGGAGTAAGATGAAATCGTAATTGTTTCGAGCATATCAGTAGCAGTTTACGGGTCGATAAATTCATAACATATTTCTACGTATTCGTGAAGAATAAAATTCCATTTGTTAAGTTCGATTGTCATTGTCTTAAAATAGCTAAACGATCAAAACATTTATACACGTTTTTGTCCATTTTTAGTATATTAAAAGAAATGCCATAATTTATAATAAGAAATATATTTTTGTAGATAACAGTCTGTCAAGTTGTATGGATACAAATGAAGGAGAATCTGATAAAGGATTGAAATATCCAAATGTGAAACAACAAACATTACGGGTAAGCCATTTTAAATAACAATATCAGTAGATAAAAACAGAATGATATTTGATTGAGCAACGGCAAGTAAAAGAATGATACACTGTTGCAATGCTTGAATAGTAGTTTAAAATTTGCTAGTATCCAGATACTAAATTTAGATTTAATTAAGTGCGTTAATCAGATCAGGTCGTTAAACGCAGGCTGGTATTGCTTCGATGAGTGTTGTAATGTTTTCAGCAAATTAAGCGACCTGGTGTTGCTTTTTTTTTATAAATTATGCGGAGGTTGAATATTTCATTCTTAAGTCAGTTTCGACAGTTTGATTAAAAGAAAAAACTGTTTTATGCGGAATCATATTCGCAGCATAAAGACTACGTTCCTAATCAGTTTAAAATTAGTCATCCTAGATTAAATAGTAATATCCATTTATAAAAATCTTTGAATAATGCAAATACCTGTGTCTATATCTCAAGGTAGAGAAATACACCGTAGCTATTGAATAAAATGTGCAAATCGTAATTTTTTTACGGAACGAAGTCCGTTTCCATTGGTTACATCTACTAGCTTTAGTCTATTAAAACCCGAACACAACATGAATTTCATCACCCGAGTATTTAACACATCCTTAGTTCGATGCCAACTAGTAATGAAAACTTTTTAAACTAAACAATTAAGTAAACAAAACGTTCTGTAATTATCTGTCAACAAGATGTTCTTAATCAATAACAGCATAAATTTGCCTAAGTTGATAATTTACCACTTTCTGCATTTGAAATAACCCCCAATTATCAAGGTAAAAAATTCAGATTAGATTATGTTCAATATTCAATAATACATAGTTTTCAGACTGATAAAAATGAAAATGCACGTTTATTGTTTTAGAACAAACAAAAAATAAGGAAAGATATTTTCATTGCCAATTTATGCTTTACGTAGTAATAAACTGACTTTTAATATACTCATTGAAGGCAATAACGTGAAACGCCAAATATCTATGCTAATTTTAACACACACCTATTCCATTCACCCCAGGTACATATTTTCAGAAATGTAACTAAACTTTTGTTAATTTTGCAAAATTTTACTAATTCGGTAGTCATATAAAACTTTATGCACCAATAATTTTGTAAAATAAAAATTTTGACAATTAGTACTAGTATTATTATACGTTTAATGTCGTTATTTCAGTTTTGTTCTGTTTCATTGAAGGCAATAAAATTATCTGTTTTATTTGAAAAGTACACTTAGATAAATCAAACAGTACTTTAAACTAATTCTACAATACGCATTTTGAAACCATGAATCGATCAATGTTAACCACCATTAGAAAGCTGTAAGCACTGAAGGACGGCCGTTTCGTCCTGGTATGCCATTCATTAGCAGTGCGCATCCACAACTCCTGCACCCCGCAGGAATGAAACTCAAGATCTTCAGTCTTGTGTGCCGACGCCTAACCTCTGGACCACTGAGTCAGTATCTAACGGTCTAAATGTCTAACTTCGATCAATTCACGGAGTTGCGCAACTTCATACACTCTCTTCGGTAGTTACTGTCTACAGCCGAACAGGTTGAACTTCACTGTTCACGACTTCCCACTAGAAATTGGAGAAGATTCATTACGGAGCTAGTCACTAGTGAGCATAAGTAATTGCATTACGGGTTTGTGAAGATTGTTAAGGTACAAATTTTTAAACCATGAATCGATCAATGTTAGACCACCATTAGAAACGGCCGTCTTTCAGTGCTTCCAGGTTTTTAATGGTGGTCTAACACTGATCGATTCATGGTTTCAATATGTGTAACTTGACAGTCTTCACAGCCCCGTAATGTATTCTATAATAGTATAAAAACAATTTACGAATTAACATCATTTCCAAAATATTTTTACCTGTTCCTTCAATTTGTATACAAATACAATACTATGTTTTGTAATGAATATACAGTATTGTGCAGATCAAACAACATCAACTACACTTTGGGAATTTAAAATGGAAACTAATTTCTTTCTATTTTTTTTTGTTGTTAATATTTGTTAATAAATAATTTTGAAAACTATTCCAATCCATTAGTTATTTCTATAAATCTATTTTTAATTTTTTTGAACTAAAGAAATATTTCTTCTGTCCATTCAAGGTTCATTTTAACACTAATCTTTTGAATTATATTGAAGGTGTAAAACTAAGTATTTTGGAGATGCCGTTTTCTTTAAATATAGTGAAACAGTTATTTCTTTATGAATACCTTCATAAATTACCTAGTTCATACATTGTAAATTTCATTTGAAAAATGTGATCAGTATGCGCCGAATAGATCATCGAAAAAACTATACTACATTGAAAAAGTCTGGACCATTTTAGTTTAAAAAAGATAACTTACACAGAAAAGTTCATGCCTGCATACGTTTGGGAAATTTATTATAAAATAATGAGATTAATCTCTGCTGACTATGAACTTTATCGATACATCATGTTAAGGGTCATAAATCTTTCGCCTGTTAATGCTAATTAGTTGCATATTCTTCTCAAGCTGCAAATCTAACACTTTACGTTTCCACTGTGTAATGCCATCAAAGTAGTTATCTATGAGATTTATTCATCCAGAAGATAGATATTCTATTGCTTTAATAGGTTTGTTGATATTTTTGTATTCGTTATGATAAATTGTCTTGTTTAAATTCAAAAGTCACTAATCTATTATTAGTGTGATTCTGTGTTAGTTTAAAGAATAAGTTTATTGATAAATTTCTAATGGTAGTTTGAATTAAAGCAACTAAAACAAACTTGGCATTTACTATTGATCATATGTAGCAATCACATATGTAAATAGAAAAAACTGTGTCGTCCGGAAATAAAAGCATTGTACATTTTTAAAATACAATTGACAATATATTGGCTGAATTCATTCATAAAACAGTGAAGAATATAAAAAAACAACTTTAAAATCATACACACTACCATTTTCAATACACTAAACTATGAGTGAATGTGACATGTCTGTAATCATATAAATTCACTTAACATTCTGTGATTAATTCTCTAGCTTAAACTTGAGAAAGAAAGATAGGTTTTGCCTGGGAGAAATAGTTCGTATGATCTTCTTTGAGTTTCACTTATCTTATTCTGTTTATTTGTCGAACAATTGATGGTTACAGAGTAAATTGGTCATCCCTTTTCATCATCTAGAACCATGTCCGCATGTTCTAAAGTTTTTCCTATAGAATTTTCATGCTTCTTGTTTTTGTCTCATTGAATAATATTTTGACTGCACTATATGTTACTTAAATGATTGTCAGTAGCTCAAAACATTGTGTATACATTTTTCAACAGGTCAAAAAGCATCGTGATCATTGTTTAAGCCTAGACGAAAACAACTGTATTAAATTGTTTTTAAAGTAGTATTAGGCTGAACTAACAAATCTATTTTTCCTTCGAGCGAAGGAAGCAAATAAAGCCTACTCCTAAATTCCAGGCACTAGACGAAATACTAACTTTAATCGTTTCATTCTATCTACAAACGTGTTAGGCGTGCGCGCACAAAAGTGAACGTCCTGGGTTCGAATCCGGTGAGATGCAGGAGTCCTGGATGTGCACTACTGATTAGTCTCATACAAGGTCTAAACGGCTGTCTTTCAGTGCTTCAAGGTTTCTAATGGTGATCTAACATTGATCAATTCATGATTTCAAATGTGAAACATATTAGTGTTTATGTACCTGTAAAAGTTTACTTTACCTATTGCTACTGACAAATTGAACAATGATAAAATAGTTAAACGTTGATATTTAAATGCATCCATTGTCTTTTTCATATCGACACCCTACATTCTATGACCTCAAAGTGAAAACTCATTATCTATTCAAGGTTTCATTTTTGATTAGCATAATTTAAAATAAATAGGTGACACTGTCTCGTAGTCTAGACAGGAGCCAACATGATATTGTCTTGGAATGATGGAGTTAAATTGTTTCTCAAGAGAAAAGAACACGAATCAATATCATCTGAAAATGTTATATACTGTTAAAATAGTTATTAAACAGCATTAATCAATGATCGATGATGTGATGCTTACTTAATTAAACATTGTCTGATAATGAAAATCTAGTAAGTTTATTGCTCGTTATTCTAAAAACCTTCATCTTGTAAAATTAACACTAGCAATTTGATGGGTTTGTTTTTTGATTTCTAATCTGACCACTTGTCAATGGTTGGTGTTCTGTAATTATCGATCCACATTTTTATTATCAGCTTATTTATCAAACTATTATTTATGTGATTCATTCTATCCGAGCTTCCTGAATTAGGCAAGTTGCCAATCTGACATTATTATATATACATTTGGGAATTGTTTGCCAACCTTTTAATTATTATTGATTTTGTTATTCACTATAATCCGTGCATATGCTGGTTAAAGCATAGTCAGAAACCATGTATATATAATCTTATATATGATAGGCATACTCAATTCACTGAACATTTTCGATTAAAATATATAACAGCGATTAAATATCCACGTGATCGGTTGACTACTCTTTTTTATTAAACTCCGATGTTATTCAATTTATCGTGTCGTTAATCAAGTTTGATACATCATACTTCATACCATCCTCCGTTAGAGTTATGCATTGCAAAAGTAGAACTACATTGATGAAGTAAGGTTTGAATTATATATTTTCGATCGTTGGAGATTTATACCGCAAAATTGAGAACAAAATCTGAAACCAACATGGAGTACAGACCATTTTAGAAGTTCAAACAGACCGCATAAAACATGATAAAGACATAAATATTTTATTATTAGTCACTATTATGTGCCAAATATTTGTTTTATAGATTAGAAACTCGATATTTTACGCCCAGATTAATTTTCTAAACAATAAGTTATAATTAAAAGTTTATATTATGAAAAAATTATTCTTTTTAATATACAAACTGTTGGGGACGTAAGATCCCTAGAATTCACTTGGTTAAGGTCCTAATTTTGGATTTGTGGTTTTGTGCTTGGGCTGGTCAGTTGACCTTGAGATTACATTTCCCACCCGGAAAATCCTTGGCTGTTATTAGCTGATATATTATTTTAGTACGCTGATTTTGTGGCCCTCTCAAGGACGTTTCTATCATGTATAAATAAACTCGATTTGTGTGCTTGTGGACCTCATATTTCCTGAGTGCTTGTAGAATACACTCAGTACGCCATATCAAGACTTCTTCCTCTACTAAGTGGAGGCTTGTGACGCTCCGATTAGAGTAGCTTGTCGTGTCACTGGATCATTTGTCTTCGATGACTGATATCACCTACACAACCAGTAGTGTACATGTATGATCTCATTACGGGATCGAACCAAGGAGTTCAAAAAGTTTAAAAAACCTCAAGTATATAAATATATATATCATTCTTTTCCGAATTATATATATATATATATATATATAAAGGAGGATTCCGGAAATCATGTGAACTATAAAGAAATATTTGAATCTCGAAATCAATCATGTTCAACAGTATCAATTAATTCAAATGAATCAAGTTGTCAATCTATCAGTTATCATTTACCACAAAATCCTTTCAATAAATTTGGCTCATTAAAAAAGTTAAATAGAAAAGTTTCAATTCATAAAAATCTTCATTATACAAAAAATGCAATTGATGAAAAGTTAAGAATTTTTCGAATTATGTTAGCTGGTGATTCAGAAGTTGGTAAAACAAGTTTATTGATACGTATGTGTGAGGATGTGTTTCAAAGTTGTTCAGTTACTACTATCGGTAAGTTGATTCAAGTTATTAAATTACACTTTGATTGATGGATTTAATTCATGATAATCGATAATTTTGATCACTATACAGAGAATAATGTTCAATTGTTTGTATTATATCTGAAAAAATTTAGCTGAACTCTGATTAAAATCTGTATTGTAATAGATAAGTGATTGACTACTAAGTTTCCTTTGATAATTAAACATTTTGCCGATAACTGAAAGTAATTTATGAAGTACTAGTTTATGAAGGTTAAAATAAACTATTCAAGTCAATCAGAAGTTTCAAACACTAATTTTCTGTAAATCTAAATAGTACTGTAATAAATTCCTGTGTTACATCCATTTAACTTCTGAATAATGAGAGGATGCTTGTGTTTTAGAAGTGGCGGAATTGACAATTTTTTGATTCATAAACGTTTTAGACACGTTTTTTCCATTGTACTAGAATATATTTGATATATTAGTACATCTGACCACGCATGAAAGCACTCGCACGAAGTTATGTATACTGGCCATATTTAGATACCCAGCTGGAGCAGCTGTCCTGTTCATGTACCGAATGTGCATTAACAACAAAAGCACCGTGGAAAGCAGAGCTGCAATCATCACCAATACCAAAGTCACTGTGGCAGTGTATACATTTGAACTTTGCTAGCACACTACATGGACAAACTTACCTTCTGGTATTTGATGCATACAGCAAGTGGCCAGAACTATTTTTCATAAAACACCCAACTGTAAGCTGCACAGTCAGAAAATTACGTCAACGATTCAGTCGTTTCGAAGTCGATACTTAGCAACAACGGGACACAGTTTCCGTGTCTGCAATCTTCCCACAATTTTACCGGCAAAACGGAATCTGTCATGTCCGAACACCTTCATTCCATCCCTAATCAAATGGACAAGTGGAACGCTTCGTGAGTACAATTAAAATGCTCTAAAAAAATCTAAAAGGGAAAGGGACCACCAAAGAGATCTTAGAGAGGTTCCTTCTTATTTATCGATCTATACCGAACCGTCAGACGATTAACAATGTCTCTTCAACAGAAGCTCTACTTGGCAGAAAAATACGAACACGTTCTGATGTCATCCGTTCTACGCCAGCTGTTGAGTCGTAAATTCTCTGTTTCCCTGACATTTAATGACGAAAATATATCAACCCGAGTTGGGGTGCTGTTCATATCTTATACTTATCTATTTTATTAATTAGGATCTCAGCAACTAGTCATTAGTTGAAGGAGTTCGAAAAGCATTAATTATATTGTAGTATTCATATAGTTAGAATGTATATACCGCAGAAGTTTAAACAGGCCGCTAGCTAGACTTAAGTACCCATCAATCACATTCCATAATTACTGAATTGCTTTGGTATCGTATCTAGACATCGTATTTCAGATATATCAGACCACTTCACTAATTTGTATTTTAAACCTTCTTTGTTAATTAAGATACTTTTAACTGAATAGTTAAAACATACAATACTACAAAATAATAAGAATATGTTAAACAAAAGAATTTATAAATTTATTTCCAAGTCATTTTGAAATACAAATTCAAACTGGCTAATTTAATTCGACAAAAATAATCTACTTGAAATGAAGCATCGATTTTTTTATGAGAAACGCATAGATACTCTGAGAATACACCAAGAACTGAATTCACCCATAGCAAAATAATTTACTGAATGTGTCAACAAAATGAAATTATTTCTTAAACTTATATATTTGATGTATTTTTCAAAATGCAACTAGGTGTTGATATGAAAATGAGATCGGTAGAAGTGGATGGCCGGAAAGCAATGATGCAAATATGGGATACTGCAGGACAGGAAAGGTAGATTTTAAAAAATTAAAATAGTCAAACACATTTTGTGTTAAATGAAAATGATCGGTACCAACTATTCAAAGTGGCTTATATTTTTTTGTCAAATCCTGAGGTAGGACAACCAATATGGTTCGAAATTTACTGTCCTTTACTTACCTAATTATGCCTATTACCCCCGGTCAAGCGTAGGGCTCCGACCAACATTCTTCAACCTACTCTGTTCTGGGCCTTCCTTTCTACTCCTGTCCAATTGTTGTTCATTCTTCTCACGTTTTCCTCCATTCCTCTTTTATTTTGGCCTTGAGGATTCCAGGTGAGGGCTTGTCCTGTGACACAGTTGGGTGCTTTCCCCAATGTATGTCCTATCCAACTCCAGAGCTTCTTCCAGAATTTTTGCCGCTCGAACCTGGTTTGTTCTCGCTTTCAGCAGGTTGTTACTGATAGTATCTGGCCGACGGATCAGAAGTATTTTGCGTAGACAATTGTCTTCTGCACGATAGACTTCGTGGTTCTTCAAGTCTCTACCTCACATAGGAGAACTGTCGTTTGACGTTTGTTTTGAAAATTCTGGCCTAGGTGTTGACTGATAATTGTTTCGAGTTCCAGATGCAGCCCTTAGCTTTGCCGATCCGTGCCTTCACATCTGCAGCAGATCTACCTTGTTCACAAGTCATGGTACACAAGAGTGTTAAGACTTTTACATCTTCCAAAACTCCTTCATCAAGTGTGATTTGGTTGGTGGATGATGTGTTGTATCTGAGAATCTTGTTTTTCCCTTTGTGTATCTTGAGACCTAATGCTGCTGAGGTTGCTGCTACATTGATCGTCTTTTACTGCATTTGTTGTTGCGAGTCTGTTTACGAGTTCTTCAGGACGCTCTACCCACTTGTTTCCCTGTTCTTCAATGTTGATGTTTACTTTGCCTTCCTTCCAGCAAACTTCTTCTATGTATCAACTAGTTGTTGCATATTTCCTTCGCTTGCAGCTTTTTCTGCTATCATTGCTGGATGTTCCAAATATCTATGTTTGTCGGCTCTGATTCTCCTCTTCACGTGTTTGTTTGCTTCTGTGTATTCAGCTTGTATCTTAGCTTTTTCTGCTATTGTTCGGTTGATAATTAATGTTGCCTTCTTGTTCCTACTTTCTTGAATCTTATCCAGTGTATCAACAGTAGTCCGGTCCTTGAGGCCCTAAACCCCGTGTTGTGTTAAAGTGATTGTTTCCTTGATTCTTTCACAGTTGTTCTCCATGGTAGTTTCCTCTCCCTTTAGTAGATCGTGAAAGGCTTGGAACTTATTTCAGAGAACTATCTTGAATTCGTTTATTGTTCCAGTATGTCAAAGAAACCCCGTATTAAACATTTGGGATGTTGTCCACCCCATTATCCAGTGTTTCAATTTCATTTTGGTGACCGGCACTGTACTTTATCCAGAGTATAAATGAAGTTTTAAGTACAAGGGACATCATTGCTCCCATCCAAGGAATCACAAACACCGCTTTGTGATTCAATACCCTAATGGATTATATTCTAGTGCTTGCAAAGATGAGCAGTGTTTGAGTGTCAGTGTAAAATTAATTTCTGGAAAGAAGTTAATTTCGTTTAGTGAGGTACCAAGTACTCGTAAATATAGGTGACTTTGAATAGCATGTATCGATCGTTTTATTCTCACAATCATAAGTATTTATTGAATTATAATTTATTTAGTTAACAAATAAAATTATAACATCGGAAGTAACTGAACTTGTCTGACTTAACGTCGTCTGTTTGGCGACAACTAAGGCTTGACGCCTTCTTAATAACATAAACGTTTAATAATTGCTAAACGTGTGTTTTACAGTTGAAAAGTCAAACCTTTACACTAATTTCCACTAGCTAGTTCTTTATAGTCAAATTGAGTAGTTTGTAAAATTATTCATAGGACTAGTTAGAGAGTCAAGGATTTCGTTAATTTCGAATTTTTGGTAAAACTATAGTACTCATCTGTTTTTGACAAGAATTTAAGAATTACATTAGTTTAAATGAATGTGCAAAACTATTTACGTATACAGATATTAGACATATTCCAGATTTACAATGATTGCAAGTAAAAATTATATATTCACCTCACAATTGAACTTTATCTCCACTACACATCTTCTATTTATTTTATTTAAACACAAAAACTTTGATTAAAAGAGGCAATGACATAATAATGCACCATACAAATTGTTAAACTTATCAGTGGGTCAGGATATTGGCTGGGCACCCAAACTGAGACAAAATCAAAATTTCGACCCAAAGGTTCAGTCCATAAGACAGTAGAGCACAGTGAAGAAATGCTGTCCTATGGTAGCCCATGAACAACAGTAGGTTCGTATGACATTCTAATCATCAGGATTCTGCAGCACTTGCAAACCATTAGTTTGGAATCAAGGTTTTCCAACTCTGCTAGATAGATTCTCCATCTCTACTGTTGAATACTTGCTTTTCGTCCTCGCAATTTTGTGAAGAATCATCCCATCAAGAGAAGGCAGTGAGTAGGACTTCTCTGGCATTGTCTTTATTCGTATAGCCAAATGAGAGAACTTTGAGATCAAGAGCGAACTCTTTACTCTTGGCTATACCAGAGCACATAGGCATTGACAAAAACTCTAGCAAAATATATATTCCTCACTTTGTATAACTATTTTCTCTGTGCTATAACAATTTTTTGTAGATTTCGCAGTGTATCAACCAGTTTCTACAGAAAAGCTGATGGTATTCTACTAGTGTATGATTGTACATCGGAATTTTCATTTATTAGTACAAGAGATTGGATCACAATCATAGAAGTAAATATCTATATTTTAAATGGAACTAATACAATTATATTTCAGTAGTGAACGGAATTTAGTTTAAGTATTCTTTATTTTAGCTTTCATGATTTATCGTAATTTCTAAAGAGTATTTCAAACGTTATAAAACAGACTTTATTATTAGATCCTTAGTTATAACAAATTGCAGATTTTTTTCCTGCAAAGTAAATCTTTCAAGTATATACAGTGATTAAGATGAAATCATGTTGACAGCAAATTTATTTTAAAATTTATGATAAATTTCACTTAGATGAATAATTTCATCAATAAAATAGACTACAGGGTTGTGAAGATTGTTAAGTTACACATTTAAAACCATGAATCAATCAGTGTTAGATAATCATTCGAAACCTGGAAGCACTGAAAGACGACCGTTTCGTCCTCGTATGGGACTCATCAGCAGTGCGCATCCACGACTCCTGCACCTCACAGGATTCAATCTCAGGACCTTCGGTCTTGTGCATGAACGCCTAACCTCTGAACCATTGAGCCGGTATCTAACGGTCTTAATGTCTAATTTGATCAGCTCGTGAAGTTGCGCTACCTCGTACACTGTCTTCGGTAGTTACTGTATACACCCGAACAGGTTCGACTTCATTGGTCACGACTTCCCACTAAAACTCGGAGAAGATTCCTCACGCAGCTAGTCACTAGCGAGCACTAGTAATTGCTTTACGGTGTTGTCGAGATTGTTGAGTTACAAATTTGAAACCGCTGCTGATGAGTCCCATACCAGGACGAAATGGCCGTCAAGTGCTTCCAGGTTTCTAATGGTGGTCTAACATTGATCGATTCATGATTTCAAATGTGTAATAAAGTAGATAACTTTAGATAATGGCAAGTGGTGCAATTTATTACAAGCAATTCATCCTATTTTAAACTTCTCAGCTGATTCTGCTCTCATACCGGGTCACAATCCTACTATCTTTCTCTTCAAACGCCCAGCACTGAGTGACTGAATACAGTTAGGTATTCATTTTGTAAGTGTTTGAATTCTCAGATTATTAGCATAGTTGAAGAACAAAATATTGAACTGATTATTGACTTCGGTCAGTTGATAGAGGTGTAATCAAAATGAAACGAAAGATGAAGAACTCAAATGTCAGATTTCTATGTGATATATTTTTTAGAATAGCATCAATAGATTAATGTTGATTTTATTAATAGAGAACATTTCATCAAATTCTTACGTAGGATGAACTTAAACAAGTTATTTCTTTGGATGAAGCTAAAATATGCTGACAGCATGTTTGGCAAAACAAGGGAAGAAATCCACGATATCATTTTAAGGTCTAAAAAATCATTGTTACATAAAATCATAAGCTTAAATTATTCACTCTTTATGAATATTGGTCAGTTATAGTCAAAATAGAACTACAGACAACTGTAGATAAGCTCGATTTGCCATATTGTACATCAAAATAAGAAGAAGGTAATGATGCTATACATAAGAGTAATAATATCAAATATAATGGAAAGCTAACCACAAACAAATGCGGGTCGTAAACGAACACTAGAAAAAAAAACAAAGTAAACAATAATATCAGAATTTCAATTCACGAGAAGAGAAAACAAATCCAACAATTCGATTGTGTAATATACTACCTAGAGTTTGGGAACTAGATATTAACCTGTTAGATTGGCCAAGATCTTTCATCTTCTTATTTCATAAGACAGGAAATAAATTGTCTTTTGAAAAAAAACCCAAAGAGTAATGATTTTGATGACGCATTAAAATTAGAAGATAATTTAGATATTTCATTTGCAATTATTGTAAGAAATAACTATACATATTTCACTTTATTTTTTAGTGAATTAATCAATTTTCTCTTATTGTTATGATGTTTAATTGATAACTAAAGTTAGTAAATATTTGTGAAACGCGATACGATTCTTACGACTACCAACTTAATGAAATCTAGATCTATTCACCAATAAGATATTACACTTGAATGATGAAATATGTTAATTCAAAGGTAATCATGATTTCAATACACTCATTACTCATATAACAATCAGTCAATCAATAGCAACGTAGAACTTCGTACGTACGTGTGTACATCAGTTCATGTTGCCGTACCACATTAACACAGTGATGTAATTGTCAATTCAAATCTCATAGTAGTAGAATTAGTAAAAGTATTAGAAGTGATCAGACATACCATGATTCGAAAATATTATCCAGGAAGTACAATCTAGTGAAATAAACTTTCAAGAAAAAGATAAAGTGATGAGGAACTCTGAAGGTCATGATTTGAGGGAACACAAAGAAAGAATGCACCTCCGACATTGCGTCATTCAGGGTTTCTAACCATCGATTATTATCATCTTGTGAGCCCTAACCAGGTAGTCGAGACTTACCAACATGACTCAGTCCACTTGTCAGTAACTTCATGGATTTCTGCCATGTTTTGGTTTGGCCGCCCCTAACTTTCTTCAAACCTATTTCTACATCGCACAACAGAGCTCGACGAGGCAGTCGGTGGTTGGGCATACCTAACACATGTCCCAACCACCTCAACTGATGAAGTTTCACCACTTCATCTATTGATCTGCCATTCTTACCTAGCACCCGTTTCCTAATAACAGCGTTGCTCAATCGGGTGTCCCACGATATACGATCAATGCTTCTTAAACATCTGTGATCGAATACTAGTAACCTACGAACATCTACTCTTAACGGCCATGTTTCACATCCATATAGGAGAACGGAGCGAACTGCTGCGCAGCATACCCGTCCTTTGGTTAGCGAACGGATATCTCGCCTACGCCATAAGTGACGCAGGTTGGCAAAAGCCAAAACAAAACTGAAATATGATATAAAATAATTGAATTATAAATTGTTGAATGCTAATTAACAATCCAAAGTTTAGATCGACCTGAAAAAATTATGAAACCTAGTCTAATTCCAACTTACACTCTATGACTATAATTTTTGTTTTGACATTTTAAATGTCTGCGAGAATAAGTTTTACACAATTTCATACATTATGGTTTTGCAGTCCCTAATATTTACATTCAATTCAATTCATAGGAAAATGCTGGTAAACAAATACCTATCGCTATTATTGGCAATAAAAAAGATTTAAAAGAACAGAAAGAATGGCAAGGAAATAAGTGTGTTAGTTATGCAACAGGCAGTAAATTGGCTCAGGTGAGAGTTATACTTAACATTATTTAAACTAATCAGTAATTGTGAATTGATGATAATCAAAGCCCTTATTCACCTAATAGTTTGAAGAGAATATGCTAACCACAATTTTCGAAACGTTGATTTAAACAAACCAATTTTAGGTGGAGTTGGATGATGGCTCAAATTCATATCTATCGCATGCGTTTCATCCTGTATTGAGAGTTGTTAATTGCAGGTATCTGCATCCCAGAACTGGTGTTCACTTCAGGAAACCAAACAAAGCAAACAATAGTGATTTCCAGTCCTGACTGATCAATCCCAAACAAGATGAAACGCGTATCCTGGACTCCGCAGTCAAGCGCCATCCATCTCTGTTTATAATATTTGTAACTTAATGACAATATTGAGGCAATCCACACAGGATGCACAAATGCCAAAAGAGGCTAGTCAGTAGGAGCTCTTAATATTGATGGGTAGATTAATTAAATGAATACTAACCAGTTTTCAGTTTAGAAAAACTCGGTAAACTTTAGTAAATTTCATGTATACAAAAAATTAGGAAGATTATCAACTGTAATTAGTTACTGGTAGGATTGTAACAATTTACAATGAACGTATTCAACTGACTCATTCTTATTTCAACCATAATCATTGTTAATCTTTCATGGAATTATTTAATTGTGAAGGTTGCTAATAGGCTTCGTATAACATACCTTTTTGAACTATTCAAATGTCTCGAAACCAAATTTTCATCATCTAAATGTTTTGGTGATTATGCTTTCAACTAAACTCATAAACGATAACCAGTGTGCAACACCTTTATGCAGCTTGCTAGTTTTAGAGGCATATTTCAATTCCAACAAGGGTGGTAGTTCGAACCGATCAACACAGTCACAATAAAGTATTTAAACTAATCTATAACCTAGTATATTTCTTATTCGATTATTTTAACTTTGACAAATATTTTCATTCAACTGACATTCAAATGATTATTTCAACATTGGTTCAAATGTTATGAATCGAAAGTTGTAAAACGACAAACAGATTGTTTGATTGATATATAACGCTGCACAAAATTGGATCAGTCCAATTTTCTGTTCTTCAACAGTAGTACAAAACGGAAAATCTATAGAAATTAAAATCAAGCTTTGAAATTTAGTTGAGACCACTGGTCAAGACCAAGAGACATTAGTCACAAAGATAGGCTTAGCAACCGACCTTGTCAAAATCACATTCAAAGTATTACTTTCTTGCCCTTTATCAATTTATTGTAATGAATTATATGATTGAGGTTTTTTCAATTAACCTTAACATACTAACCACCACAGTGGATAAAATTCTATAGATTTCGATATAAATTTCACCACTAATGCTAAATATTGCTTAAATCAATTTTGTTTTAATCAATGATTATGTGTCATCTATCCTGCTTAAAACTCATCATAGGAGATTGGAGCATTATTCTTCGAAACAAGTGCAATGACTGGTGAAAATGTAAATGAATGCGTTGAAGCTTTAGCTAGGTAAGTAAATATTTTAAAACAAATTAGAAATGTTGAATAAAACTAGCACAAACAATGTAGTATAGTGAGCTCTGAAGTCATTTTTGTGAATATTGATCTTTTGCTAATAACATAGAAACGGTAGTAATCATTAGTGATGACTGATGTACGTAAATTATATAATATTTTCGCAGATAAGTAGAATAGAAGCAACAATTATGAAGGAATATGTGTGTATCAAATTTATTAAGTAATAATAAAGTGTAAACGTAAATGAATATTTATGTGTTACTTTGAATAAAAATCCTGTAAGAGACATCATAAGAACGTAAATCTTTCACTAAATCTGGTAACTATTTCTTACGTTTCATTATTCATCTTTATATAACACCTAACTTCATACAAGCATCAAAGATGCCTTAAACATTTTTGAGTCACCTATAATAGCTTGACTTATCTTACTACTACTATTCAACTAAACATTATATGGTTTTTACGCAAGTTCAGCGAAGATCTTCACTCTTCAGAAACGTATTATTAAGCATTAAAGTTTTAAGTCATTTTTACATTCAGTAAAAGATAAATATTCACTTACGTTAACTGTCGTTACAATTCCACTAATATTCAATAATATGATATAAGTTACGTAAGCAATTATCAAGCAAGAAATGAATCCAGCTTACTCTGCTGAGTTCATTGTCTTCGTTTCATTCAAATTTACCAAGAAGAACAATTGTATGTACTGAAAGTTGTAAAGGTTTTGTATGTCATAGAACGAAATGCCCAACTTGAGTGCTTTTCTCATTGATGAGCAGTCTCCGATCATGAGTATACAGTTTCTTTTGAAACATATTAGTTAAAGTGTCATAACTTCAGCTGTAGAAATTCGTGAGTGCAGTCTTATCGGATACAACTTTGACGTGTGATAGCTAAAGTAATAAGCGATCATCTCAAATAATTCATATTATTGGATAGTGACCTTTGTCTTATGACTGAAAATGCTAGGTAGTTTGCTGGGTGGAATTCAATTACTGGAATAGATGACCGGTCTAGCCGATAATTCAGCAAACACAGCTAGTGGTGCACTTGACAACTTGCATACCTACATCGACAAATGGCGAAAAAGCCGACGATGACAACTTTTCATTTGAAAAGACATTCCAGATTCTGACTATTCTTCGTTTGTGAAAAAAAGCTTGTAATTCACAAATTCTAACACCCACACATTACCAGATGTAGTCAATTGACTTTTCAATACTTATGTCTCAATAAAGAATGCGAAAAATTGTCCTGCTCCATACTATTCGTCCGGTATAATATACGATTTTCGTGTAACATATACATTAGTTCCTGTCTAGCGACGGGTTATTTTCCTTAGGATTCATCCACTGAATTTCCATAGATTTCCACATAGCCATTCCTAAATGCTGTGCATTAGAAGTATGATGTAGTAATAAGCGGCGTTTTACTTTATTTTTGCGGGATTTGTAGTTGATGACACTACTTAGGAAACACATCCCTAGTGGTACAATTAATAAACATTATGATCCAATTCAGGTTAGAATGCTAATGTGAAGCTATCCACGGAATCCTGCGTAAGAACGTACTATATTTTTCCGGTGTATTTAGGATTCACATCTCTACTGATTTCTGACATTTTCTGAAGGGGCATCGTGAGAGGTTCTAACCTACATGTTTTGTGCGCCAAAAATTAGTTAAGCTTACGCTGAATGTTCTGGGTCTCAGTCTAGGTAGGCTTGTTGCTGCACACCACTGAGTTCTATGCTAGAAGTTAAGACCAGATGGGACATAAATTTAGCATCCACTACACTGAAATGTCATAGCTGCCCAGTATTCACCAAGTGTTTAGCGATACCTCAGTTGACTTTTTAAGTTAAATGAATTCACCATCATAAACTATGCAGCTCAAAGTAGAAGAAAAAATCACTAAGGATTACTGTACTAGGTGTAAAGACCAGCTGAAAGGCCCAGCTTTAAAACGAGAATACGACCAAACATAACCTCATACGACTGATTTCACCAAAATAATTAAAACCAGGTTTCTTTGTAAGATATAACGTTTGATTGGGCAGCTTACAAAACAATACTTTCAAACTGATATATACCTCATTACAGATTACTATGTGCTCAAGAAGATTATAATTTACGATGTCCGAAACTGAGGCTAACAAGTGACACTCCACGACCGACAAATGCCAAATGTTGCGTGCGATGAGAAACAGAGACGTGGTCGATCAATTCCAAAATCACTAATTTAAAAACCAATTGCCTTTTATATTTCATATTGATATGACACGAAGGATAATTATCTTCTTAAATCTCAAATAAAAGATTGGAAAGTATTGTGTGTGGTTTTGATAACAGCGGAGAAACAAACACATGCAGTGTTGCGGACGTCTACAAATTCAAGGAATAAAATGGACCTTAACTACAAAAGTTATGTGTTAATGACGGACGAAACCTTACACCAAGAAACAAATAAAGATAGTGTGTAGGGTCCGATGATGGTGCAATACCGAAATATTTGTCATATATCGCCAACCAACTAAGTGCCGAACACTGGCTTTAAGCAGAACAGCGAAACAAATACGAAAACACGTAGAAATATTAAACGATTGGAACCAGAATATCACACTATAGAGAGAATACATACAACAAGCATACTTCATTTACAAGCTTAGTTATTCAATTGTATAACATAACTTCAAAACCTACCAACCACAACTATATTTAAGCCAGTACACTACTGACTACTCGAAACTTCCGTGACATTATTATCATCAGGATGAAGAAGGCTGAGATCAGTTTCTTAATTACAACCAACCAATCGCTGAAGCATATGTGCAACCAAACAGTTTACAACGCCCATTCTGACAAAAAATAACCTGACACAGATTTAACAACTGGACAAACTGCCTTGACCTTTATTTCTAGCACTATATCTGACCCCATAGGATGAGCAGTAATAAGAGACACAATGATCTTTTTGAGTAACACACACGAAATAAGTTGATATTAAAGGAAATCTGATGAATAAAGAAGCATTGACCTAGCATGTTCATATAAGCAACTAGTTTATATATATATATATATATATATATATATATATATATATATATATATATATATATATATATATATCATTTTCCCGACAAAAATGGATACATTTTCAACAAGAACTCCTTCACGGTGTAACATTCAGCAATAATCCAATCAAATAGACGCAAGAGATGAGAAACTTTTTTCATTAAAATCTCAACAAACAATTGAAAAGTTAAGAACTGAGAAAGCTTGCTATATAATATATTCTTTTGAATGATTTTAAATATCGAAGGTGAGTGAAACAATAGGAAAGTTAGGGAATAGAATAAATATTACATAAAAATAACAATTTCCAATTAATCTAATGTCAGATAGACAGTAAATTAAAAGAAAATAAAATAATGTGAAGACGGTAAATCAGTGTGTATGTGCGTGCCTGTGCACATATACCCAGACACACAAATAATTAGGCTTTGGGAATAGATACACAAACCGGTTGAGGAGTTGGGCATATACGATAAGCTTGATTAATTGGTAAACGACGATATAATGAAATACAATTCAACATCCATTCAATACTTATAACAGGTACACCGTATACTCGATAAAGCTCTAAAATATTAACAATGATAAAAGGTATTGATCAGTAAAGTGTAATTTACAAAAAGCTGATAAAATAAATACACAAAAATAATTTAGAGTTCACGTTTCGATATCACGAAACCACCTGTATTCTCAATGACAATCCTCAAAAAAATACACATTCCAAGCATACACGAGAGACACATATCTGTATTCAATTCCACAAAAGCATTAATAGTAGTTCTCAGATTACATTGCACTTAGTTTGTGTGAATGTATGGGAAATTTCTTTCTAATAATTTCACAAAAACAAGACATTAACCATATTACATATGATAAAACTGTAAAAAAAATCACCATAATAGGCGTCACTATGACGACTAGAGTCGACGTTTAATCTCTTCAGATACTTAAGATGAATAGGGTTTTGCCCACTTAGTAGAATTAATGTCAAGCTTAAAAATGAAATTACAGGCACCATGTTCAACATACTGAAATTCTAGGTAACTGATAAACTTCATAACTGGAACCTCAGAAAGAAATATCGTGATATCCACATCACGAGTACAAGTGATTTATTTACGGATTTATTTCATGGACTGATCAGTTGACCTTAAGATCACATTTCCCACCAGGAAAATCCTCGGCTCTGATTCGTCACTGTGTCATTTTAGTGTGCTATTTTTGTGACTGTCCCAAAGACGTCTCTATACAGTATAAGACGTAATTTGAGTGATTGGATTCACTGTGCGCTGGTTGGGTGTTTATAGAATACGATCTCTACACTATATCAAGACTTCTCGCTGATACAATTTGGTCAAGGGATCACAGTAGCCTACCTGGACGCTGGGTTCATTGTTTTGTTCTCGTTATTCAACTAAGGTGAACTCGTAACAGTTTAAGCATACCTAGAGACGAGCGTAACAATGTAGAGGGTCATTTGCCCTAATTTCGAGTAGATTATATCTTAAATTTAATGACTGGTAGATACATTTTATACTTAAAGAATCGATAAAATTATCCTTCCTAATGTAACGACTTAGTTGAATAGACTGGAATCATTTTAGAACAATATAAGTTAAGACAAGCAATTTATTCACTGTCAAATGCTGCAAAATTTGGAATTCAGTATCAGTGATGTGGTTAGTAGTAATGATAAGAGTCAATCACTTTTGTTAGAAAACAGTGGGATTGTACAACAGTCAGTCAGTCAGATGCAACGTAGAACTTCGTACGTAAGTACATCAGTTCATGTTGCCATACCACATCGGCACAGAGATATAATTGTCAATTCAAATCCAATAGTAGTAGAGGTATTAAGGGAATTAGAAGTAATCGGAGAGGTTAGGGTTAGAAGATACTACTCAAGAAGTATGATTCAGTGAGAAAAGTTTAGGGAGTCGAAACAGGAGGTGTTGAAGAATCCAGAAGATTAGGATTTGAGAGAACACAAAGAATAAATGCACCGGCGCCATTGCGAACGATTTTGAGCCATGTCATTCAAAATCGTTCGCAATTGTGCAACATCTGACCTATTATAAATTATTAGGTAAAACCTTTTTTCTCGTGGAAATCTTGATCAAAAATATATATGTGCAACCGAACACTGATGTACTTAAAACAGGTAGCTTCAATCTTATGTATTAGTCTTCACAATCAAGCCACAGTAGAGAGTTTTAACGAATCTACCTTCATTTTTATAGGATACTACTTTTCATCCATAGTAAAAAGATATTGCAAAACAAAGCTTTTCCAAGATCGTAGATAAAAACGTGAAATGTTCAGCGTATGCTCTAACTCTGCCATTGTGTTCTCCGGTTCAATCTCAAAGAACTACTTGTCCAAGAAAATAATAATTTTGGCAACAAAATATTTGATGTAATTGCCTTACTTAGACAGAGCATTAAACTAACGACACTTCAGCTTACAAAATACAGTTCCTACTAGGTCTCTATATCGTTTCTATAGCTAGTTATCGCAGCGTGGAGAATTTATAAGTATTTAGTGGTCCTAAAAATCATATCAAAATACATGCCATAATTTCACGGTGTGAAAAATCTGTTACAAAAATTTGCTAACAGTCAGGGCACTACTCTAAAAAACATACCCTGACATTCTTGAAAATTGAATTCAGAGGAATCTTTGTCTGTAAGAATTACAGCCCGTGGTTTCCGAACATCCATTCCCGTAACTGACAACGATTGTGTTAACTTGTTGGTTGCATCTATCAAATCCGAAGGTCTTTCGAAAACCCGTTCAGCACCTCCATCTAATGCCAGCTGACAAAAATCAGCCACTTGTAGAGCCCCCAAATTACGATATGCACAGAGCCATAGATCAGAAAATGGACGACGATCACCTGAACCAACTCCAGACAATAGGTTAGCCGAATTTCGAAAAGGTAATCTATCAAGTGGTTGAGGAATGGCTGGGACACCAAGTCTACCACGTCTGGGACCCTCATGACAATCACCACAAACTGTATCTCCTTCAATCTCATACGGAGACTATTCATCATAAAAACGGAAAATATAAACATTGAAGACAAGCTGTTTAATACTAACCGTAATTAGGGGATCTAGGATCACTAGAAATGTTAAATGTTAGGTTGAATAAAACAGATTAAGAGACCACATCATATTCGGTATCGGTGAAATACTACCTTCTTAGTAATACGCAGCATAACTTATTTGCACAGAAAACTCTGAATAAAACACATTATCAAATCTGTAATCGGATTTATGTATATAAATTGCTAGACCACCATTAGAAACCTGGGTGTGTACTACTGATGAGTCCCATCGAGGATGAAACTGCCGTCCAGTGTTTCCCGGTCGCTAATGATGATCTAACAATAAACAATTCATCATTTCAACGAAACTTATGGTTCGTCAATATGACCTGTTTAGATAGCTCACATAACATAAAAGCGAACTGTTTACTCTAAAACTAAACAACTTTTATCTAATTTACTCAATACATACCAAATAGGTAACATTCGTTACAAATCAACAACTGTGATGAATACCGACTAAAACTTAAACCAATCCACACTAAACCCTGCTTATTAATACACTATTATCTATTACAGACAAATTAACCAATTAAAAATGACCTCCTGTGGCGATAAATTGATAGGGATTTTCAAAAACACAAGACCGAAGTTCAAAAAAAATTACCTCATCCAGAAGTCTTTTCGCCGTTACACATTCACGAGCCCAATCTGTATTTACAATCCACGCTCCATTAAGAATACCCAAAAAATACTTCAAAGTTCGTTTGACTACGCGAGGACGACCTAAATTACAAATTTAAAACAATATAAAAACAATTCATATTGGTAGTATAACAGTCAACTCAAAGAACACACACGTGTACACCAATGGTTAGAGACCTTGAATGACATGGCTCAAAATAGTTTGCAATGGCGCAAGTGCATCCGTTCATTGTGCTCTCTCAAATCCTAATCTTCTGGATTCGTCAACACCTCTAACTTTGTCTTTCTAACCTTATCTCACTGAATTATACTTCTTGAATAATATCTTCAAATCTTAGTCTTCTTCATTACCATTAATACCTCTACTATCTTTATCACTATGGGATTTGATTTGACATTTGCGTCTCTGTGCTAATGTGGCATGGCAACCTGAACTTATGTACATACGTACGAAGTTCTACGTTGCAACTGACTGACATATCTATTTTCCCTCACTGTTGAGTCAATCACACGCTATTCTCTCCAACAAATTTATATACGTACCCGTCTAGAGTTCTGAAATCAAAATCATTTAAAAAGAATCCTTTGCTGAATTACTTTGATATTCAATTTTTAAATTATATCAGTAGAACCAATAACTACAGTGGAAGTGATATTTATGTACACAATCAATACCAACAAGAAGGGCACAATAGCAACAGTACTGAAAAGTGAAAGTAGTTAGGCTCAGAAAACAGATTTAAAAAAACGCCTGATTTAGAAAAACAAATTAAATATCTTCCCATAAACTACAAATCACTGAAAAGTTGTATTATGAAAAAATCTAGCAAGTAATTTGAATGGAAAATACAGAAAATCGATAGTCAAACTCATTATCTTTCAATTAAAATGTCAAGCGTATCTAGGCACGGCACTAGGTAATTTTGGCAACGCATATGTAAGTTGGCTGGTAATAACGCAAAATCTTGGAACTTGTCAAACTGTTTCTTGTCAACATTCTATGAACAACAATAAATAAAATCAACTTTTTCGGTTTACTGAACAAAGTCAGTCTGTCAGTCAGTCGTGGGTAACCGAAGAGTGGCTCGAGGCCAGTTGAACTGAACAAAACAACGAAATCCATCACTGTAGCGTAGTATGAATCTCATGGCTGGTTATAGGGTATCAGGCAGCATCTGTTCAATTTGCATACACCTTAACGATCAAGCTTCAATTAACTATTTCTGCTCCTTATGCTCTAGTAGTGACAGTTGATGAATTTTTTCGTTCCCAATTATTATTATGATGATTCGGTAAGTATATATTTCCGATTTGACTGGCTAAATAGGTTTTAGGCAATTTTATGAAATTCCATGGTTTCACCATTGTATATTAATTAATGCAAGCAAAGAGGAGGTTTGACACTTTTTAAGTCTATTATTTAACAGCTTTAACTATTCAAAACCAAAATAAATGCTTGTTCTCTGGCAATATCAATAGAAAAAAAGTCGTCTACAAAGCTAAACCAATCATCATATTGGAATAGCAATGTAAGTATTTTTTTAATTGCGCAATAGCAACTTACCTGGTTCTTCTTTAATCACTACATGAGTTGTCTTCTGGGGAATGAAACGGCTGTGCTCGGAGATACTGAACTGCAAACAAAACTTATGCAGTAAATCCTAAATATGAGAATAGTTCAAAAAAGAACGTGCATTTAACAATACAAATATAGTCAAGAGTACTACACGTTTATTAAAAATTCCATAGATCTCTTATTCCAGGTATTTCGGTTGCAATCTAAAATCTCTCTATTTCGACAAGATGTTTGATAAAAATATTAGGAGAATAAAGGTGGCCAAACAAAAGATTTATCAATAAAATAAACTTATAAATCTTAACCCAATCTCATTCAAAACACAGATCAATTAGCCACAAATATAGATTAGAAAAGAATCGCTAACAATTCATTAAGAATGAGTTTTTGATGCGTTTCAATGTAAATACAAGGGGGGCAATCACCTGATAACATGATAGTAAGAATGGGAAATAAACTTATAGACACAGTAGTAAAACAAATCAAATGGTCTCGAAAATCAAATGATATACGTTAATATTTCAATCGGTAAAATATATCAAAGAGATTGGGATAGTGATTTAGTTTCTAAGTTGAAAACTCGAACAAGTATATCACCCCGATTAAACGTATGGATACTAGACAATAGAATTTGACAAGATAAATTGATGAAACTTAGTAGCAATTTAGTTGATTCAGTTGAATTTATGGCTTAAGGATTTGAGATACCATTCCATCTGAAGATAAGCTACATTTTAGTATTAAAAAATGTATACATTGCACAATCTTCACCGAACCTAATAAAAAAACTATCCGTCGTTCGTAACAGAACTAATCAAGTGTATGATAAATCAGATGTTATGTATATTAAGAAACTTGTTAAATAAACAAAGAACATTAGGTTTTTTCATATGAAAACAGTCCACTAAATCCCATGCTACAGTATAGTCTGGAAATTGTACGTTAAAATGACTACACTCGGAATGTTGAAAACAATGATCAGAGATTATTCAAATAAAATCTGGTCGGACAGTGTGCAGAAATTCTACAAGTAACAAACTTTGGTAGTGAGTTTGGTGTTAGAAGTAAACTGACAATTTTTTTCAAATGATTATGTCAGCGCCGAGGATTGACATCAATAACACACAAAGGTTATACACACTGAAAAGACAACAATAGTTATCTTCCCAAAACTATACATCCAGTGCTTCAGAAACAATAAATAACATAAAATCATTATAAACATACAGCATCAGAAGATGATAAGTTGGAACCTGTAACTGCAATATTTTTCTGACATTTATTAGAAATTTTCGGAAGCCAGTTTTCATCTACAGGTGTGTTACATGAACTTAAATTTGTTTCAGGACATTCGGTAATATTAATTAATGGATTTTGAGTGAGCGAAGTTGGATCACGGATATTTTGTGTGGATAAAGATAATGAACCAGGTATGAAATCACCGAGAGAATTATTCAATGTACTGGTTATGTTTTTCCATTCATTTTGGTTTGATTGACCAAGTTTGGAATTTTCTACTGTAGGCTGAGAAGTAATATTTGGTAATGATACATTTATTTGGTAATTTTCTGGTTCATCCGTTTGAGAAGATGGAATAATATCAACTGTTTCTGAAGCATAAGTTTCCAAAACCTAAATTATGAACACAAAACATATGAAAGGATTTTTGGACAGTATTACATATACAGTTAGATGTTAAAAAATTATAAGAAATTCAGAGTGAACTAAAATAGTAAAAACGAAATCTTTAATCCGAATACGCCGTCTTCTTGAAGAATGGAACTTTTGTAGAATTGAATAATCATATTCGTACAACCAAGTTGGTTGTTAAGCTAGGTGGCTTTGTATCAGTCAAAACTAAATTAATGTTAATTGACAATAGATGGTAGTGGGAAAACCAAATATAAAACAAAACGGAATAGAATAGCACAAAACAGGTTAATATTTGCTGGTCTTTTGTTTCCAACAAGAGAGGACTGTTTAATCAGGTTCAAGCATTTAAACATTCAAAAATGGTATTTCTATTTTACGCTAACACACTGAGTATGAGCCAAATCAAGCTTGACGGTTAACAATATTACCAGAATGCCAAAACCGAAGCAGGCGGTGACAAGTTAGAACATGGGACATTTGAACTATTGAAGTTATTACTCCGTTCATTATTTAAAGTAAAGAAAAACGAAGAATTATTGTACTCCAAAGTACTCATGTTCCAAAAAGTTAGAATATATGGAAAGCAACAAAATCGTGTACGTACTTGTAGCACACCCATTGAATGACCTAATTATGATACAATCTAATTGCATATCTTTTCATAAGTCAAACAGAGTTAGCACAGACATTTTGTAAAAACAATATGGAAAAGAAAAATCAAACACGCAAACAAAATCCTATACCTCAGACAATTTTGGGGAAGACTGAATGGTAAGTGATTCGTTAGTTTGAAGCTTTTCAACGCTGACTACGACTTGTTTTACATCATTATCAGGGGACATCCGCAGTTTATCATAACTTTTCTCTGTAGACGATGGTAAATCAAGAGGTGCATCATCCAAAGGTTCTGTACAGGCTAATTTAAGGATTTCGGCAGTTGATTCAGGACTGAGTTCGTCGGCTTGAGCTTCCAATTGCTTCTGTAAAGCTGCAACTACGGCTTCCAACTCTTCACATTCGTGGCGTAAACGCTCACGTTCCTAATATAATTAGACATAAAACTATCAGGTAAATGGGTATGCCAAATTTTCACTTGGACTAGCAAAAATATATATGAAGTATATTCGTAATGGAGTAAAGTGGGGTTTTTCTTGATTAAATTATTCAGTGCTTGCTGCATTAACCATAGCGATGCGGTTCAATGGCGAAATCGCTTGTCTTTCTACTCAATTCTTACCATTAATTTACAAAACTAATAGAATACATCGTACTCATACAAGTGTGAGTTTGCTTTCTAAAAATATATACATATAACAACTGCACACTTGGACTAAATGCAAACGACAAGGAAGAATTTTGAAGTAAAATCGTTTTTATTTCTTACTCTGTAATTAAACTCGCGTTTTTTGTTACGCTCTCTATAGAACATTAACTAAATGTGAATAAACATTTTCAGGAGAAAAAGAAAATTAGTTCAAACTATTCCAAGTATACCACAAATAAAATTGGCTTAGAACTAACTGTACAATGATTATTGAGCTAACACACTATGCCAGAAGCAATAAACGCACTATCAAGGTATACAACGATATGCCAACCAAATAATCTTGAAAGGGAACTAGAGAACATTTTCAATGTCAGACTTTTTAACATTTCAGAAGTACTCATTAGATGACTATCGTGCACAGTAGTTTTGAACAATTCGGTTCCATTAAGGCCTAATCTATTTAATTGTTATTGATACGGATCACTTGATTTAATCTGACCACTAGCTGATAATTCTAGAAACATAAACACTAATTGAAACAAAGTTGTTGAATGTAAAATATGATTGGCTAGTTGGATTTTCAAATGAACAAATTAAAATGAAGCTTATGCATATAGAGTAATCGTAGAAAACATTATTTAACCAATCATCAGGATACTTGATTCCAATAAAATAATCTTTTGAAAAATAAATGCTACTTAAAGCTATAGTCAGTTTTACGTAAAGCTTGCTATATGTAAAAAAAAGCAGCCGAATAATTTAAACAAGGACAATAATTTCAATAAGATAACTGCAAAGATCACTACTATCATTTTATATAAGTGAAAGGGTCCAGGGAACTGTAGTTCAATAAAAGTGCACTAGTTTGTCATAAAAATTTACTGCATAAAATCTATATAGTACAGTAAAAGACTGAATAGTAAATAAAACTAGCTCGTAAATAGTTACTTTGGCATATTAAGTATACTCACCACAGTCGGCATAATCTCACTACTACAACTACCTTGAAAAGTAGAAAAATTCGACTGATCAGGAAACCTAAAGAAGTCATTGCTCTGTATGGTTGGAGGTTCATCGATCTCCATGTTTTGAGTTTTTAACAGATGGTTTTCACCATGTATTTCTTCTGATTCATTGTTATTTGTTTGAGCATCCGAAAGCACTGTAGTTGAGTGGCAAGGTTTTAGTGGTGCTTCAGCTAACTTTGTTATATTGACACTTGATTGAATTTCACAATGATCGGTTGCATTGTTTCTCTATAAAAAAAATTATAAATTTCAAATGGTTTGGTCTTAGAAATTACAGATGACACTTGAGTATCAATAATGTAAAATAAATATTTAGAGAAATAGAAATTGAACAGAAAACAGCTTTCATGAACTTTGTTGTTATAATATGCTACTAAAATACTAAATGGTAGACGGATATAGCTTATTTGACGATAAAGAAAACTTAAAACAATGACTAAAATCTATGAGTTCACAACTAAGGTAATCAACACTTAATAGCAATGTTGACTAAAGAGTTTCATAATGAACGAATGGCGATTCGAAAGTAAATAATATTCGATATTTGTAAACCGAACATGGTTCCCAACTTCACAAGCTATAGTTCACATTTGTAAAGTAGTTCAAAGTAAACTACTCCAAAGTACACTTGGTCTAAAATAAAGATTTTAGTTTACACCTGTTGCAAGTAACAACTTAGGTTAGCTTAATTATCCTTAGAAAGATGTATTAGACCACTTAAGCTCGGTGGATTATGAGAGTTCGGTGATAAGTTATACAGTTAACGCATTCTAATAATTTACTTCCAGTCAAATTAGAAACTGTAAATGGGCTCTAATACATGTCGCTGAACAATTATAAGTCATACACATAAGAATTACGAGGTGAGTAATGCTTAGTAAAAGAATGCTTCTTGATACGGAATGTTTTCAAACCCTTAAAAACGAATAACGAAAATCAGCAAACACGTCCAACTTTTAACAATCAACCACGGTTTTGTCTCATTTCAAGCCCATATTTACTTATAATATATACATAAGGGTTCGTAGAATGTCTTTTATAAACAAAATACAAGTAAACTAACCGGGTTGCTTTGGAGGGATGAAATATGAGAATTTCTGGAAACAGACATAGTAGGGTGCTTTGGCTTACAGTCCCAATCAGATTCTGATATATAACGACGATTCACCTCAACTAGAGAGTCTAGATCTACATCCGTGAAGATTGTATCGCCTGGGTCTTCAGCCTGCCAGTATGAAGAAGACATGGAACAGGAGAGAATAGAAACAGGCGGGCGGAGTATTAACTCCGAGGAAAACTGAGGTCCTGGTGATATCGTATTTGCACTACTGATATCTGTATGTAATACTAACGTCTCACCACAGGCGCTACAATGTAAAGGCTGACAATAAATTTCAGCAGAATCAATTCCTGAGCATGATGTATTCGAGATGGTAGATCCGTCAAGCCGACCACAAGGTTCAGGTGAATCTAGATCACATTTATAAGCAGAGTAACCATGGGGTGACTTAACCTGAATTATAGGAGAGACAGCAGCTTCATCCCGACGCAGAGAACAGCGGAAACGGGAATGCAGTGATCTCGAATGGAAGTAGTCACGAGAAATCAAACGTCGTAAAGGCATGATAAAATGACATGTCTCTTTAGGACAATCCGCTCTCGTTAACTGCGACACTGAACTGGAGCCATCGTGAGATTTGTTTGTCATACTCTGTTCTGGAATGATATTAAAAGGAATATCAGACATGTCTTCTTGTTTATCTCGAGACATCTCAACTGTTTTCTCACTGACTCTACGTTTACTTCGATTAACAGCAAGTCCCAACTTAGGCAAAGAAAGGCCAATGAGACTGGAGAGAGAGGAGCGTTTGGAAGACTTCCTAATGGTACGTGTCTTGTTGGCTTCGCCTGATACAGAGGAAACACTTGATTCAATTTTATCAGCCAAACTAGATGACTTGTGGAATGTTATTCGCAATGATGAACTTCGACGTCTCAGTTCGTGACACATTTGACGCCAACGAGACCAACCAGGGCTTTTAGAAGAAAGACTGCGCTGAACTGTTGACAGACGATGAGGCCTGCTACGATATTTTTGAAGCAAGCGTTTACCAGCTAGTACTGACGATGTGTGGGACAAAGACCCACCGAACGAGTGAGAACGTTTCTTCAAGTTGCAAGCAGCTGATATTGGTTGCTGCTCCGATTTAGTTTTAGTTTCCTCCTGGTTAAAAAGATTGGTATGACTTTTAGTATTGATGCATATATTCTCTGAGGGCTGTACATGACATAAAACTTCGTGCGTTTTTGTTACCAATCCCTGACCAGACAATACGGAGCAATTCGATTCTCGTCGACAGTGTTTTCTGTTTTTATCATCTCCAAACGGCGAACCGGACGGTCGTTTCAGTGACACAGATTTATGTGGAGCTAGAGAGCCGTGAACAGCAACTTCTTGACTATTTTGTTTCAAAACTGCAGTCCGCATGGTTGGCGGTCGAGGCGGTAGACACGCAGCACGTCCAATGCTTTTCGAGGTTTTCAGAAGTAATTTTGACATAGATTTCGACTTATCCTTTGTAGTAGTGCGATTTACAGATATATCACTCGAATAGTCCGTATGACGCATACCTTCAACTGGTGAGAACAATGAACCATTATCAAATGAATCGACCATCGGTTGAGTTTGCTGTGTAAGACTAAATATATCAAGGAATGCATCACTGTTTTCAACAACTTGCTTTGGCAATTCATGTCTTTCTACCTCCATGGATGCGCACAAACCATGCATTGGCTGGGTAAGGATCTCCTCAGAAAGTGGAGCATTGTGCTGTTTGTTCATTTGCTTTGTTCGCTGTATGCGTGCAGTGGTGCCCAGAAGAATACGATTGCGAGGTTGAGGACGTAACTGGTTACTATTATTCTGAAAGTTTTCAGACTTCCCACTACTCGGTAAATTACATGAACCAGCGACGTCCACCTAATGAGTAAGACAGTTACCACTACAAACACTCCTACCTGTGTTAGTTCCTGACTTAGATGCAAACTGCCTACAAGGTCCTGAGGAACAACTTAAAAAATAAACAGAAATCAGATAACTTACGCTTAGTTTTTGCTTCAAATTCATAAGCTGATATAACTTTCTTACACAAGTCGATTATGTTTACAACTTTGTTTGAATGCTTTAAAGACCTAGAAATAAAATCAGAGAAAGAGTTTCACCTGGAAGAGAGGTTCTTATTACAAAGAGGGCAATTTGCACTCCTTTTCTTCTCAAAATGTTTGTCCATACAAAACTTGCAGTAAATATGAGAGCATGGTGTAACGACAGGATTCAGAACATCATCCAAACTACACCTATTAAACCCTTTTTTTAACAACTCACCATATGGGACACCTCAAGAACTGCTTTACGCCTCCTAAGCAGTATTCTATCTCAGAAACACCTGACGACCCCATTGGACTTGACCAGACCGCTAATTTTTCAATAAGCCTAACCTTCAAAAATCAAACTTCGTGTTCCAATCTCCAACATCCAATATCGATGCTAGTTCTTTCGGCATGGTTCCAGGTAATTGTTAGTTTCAAATGCATGGTGGTCTAGCAACTCGAAAGCACTAGTTCCAGTCAGTTAGCAGTTTTTTATGAATTTATACGTCCCACGATTTAAAAAAGTACGTTTGTTTCAGTTCTTTCACGTTACCAGGCCAAAGATCAGTTAGTAGACATGTGGAGAGTAATAGGTATAAAAATCGGTAGTGACGATTGTCTTAGAGGACAGAAGTGTAAGCGATGGAAATGAAACAGAGAGTATAAGGGATATAGATTTGGTTAGTGATCTGAGGAAATGGTGAGAATATCAACTAGCTAGTTTAGAGACTTCAATCAGGCACAGCCAGTCCATGAGGGAGATAATAATAAGTATGTGAGCACGTATTTTTCAAATCTCTTCATTAAGCCTTTCACTCAAGTGGTGATCACTTAGGCAGGGAGAGCATTACACTCTTAAAAGCTTGAGTCTATCTTCGTAGGGTTGATTCCTTAAATTGCTCGTCTTTGCACTCAATCCAGGGGATTTACGTCTCTCTTAAGGAAAGGGCATCAGGCAAAGTGTGCAAGTGCGCGCATGTCCTAAACAATGTTAAGAATAATTCTCAAGCGATAGCATCAAGTTGTCTTCGCAACAACTGAAGAGTTGTGTTTGCCTTGATTACGTCCGAATAACCTGTATACTCTTGTTGTACGCCCAATCACTTCAGCTTAGCGAGCCATTTATTGAATAGTCATCTTATCATCACTCCTTCGATCTGTAGTAAAGGGATAGATTCAGTCATGCTTACATCACTTACGCTGATAAATGAAGCACGGACTACCAGTAATATTTCTGATTCAAGTATGTCTTTTGAGAACTACTATTTATTTCGAAGTGACCGGCTAAAAAGGACGAGGTAGAGGATGCTTTATTTATGGCCTCTCTAGACTAAACGCACTGTTATTTGATGTGCCAGAAATGAACAGACTGAAAGATTCTTTGTGGATAGTTCAAAATCTATCACTCCAGTTTACCTACTGTTCACTTGCGTTGGCCGTTATTACAACGCACGGAGAGATGATTTAATAATATTTTCCGAAGCTTTCAAGTGTCGTTTATCCCCACCATCGATTTAAGTTCCCCGACTGTAAATGAAGTTGAAAAAGCTATTGTAAACCTGAAACGAGGGAGGGCTTCAGGGTCTGAAAGTTTTACCTTACAGATTTTTAAGGATGGTAGTTCAGTTTTAGCAGTTATGTTGACTGATATCTGAGGTAGAATTTGGGAACTGGGCGTAATCTCATCCAACTGGTCTAATCACTGATTGTCCCAGTCTACAAAAAAGGAAAACAGCCCACTAGTGGTAATCACAGAGGGACCAGTTTCAGTCAGCTACGACGTAGAACTTCGTACGTTCAGTTCAGGTTGCCATACCGCATTAGCACAGAGACGAGACTGAGGTTTTCCCTCTCCAAATGCAAAATGAATGTACGTACGAAAATCCATGTTCTAACTGACTGACTGACTCAATTAACCCCACCATTTTCAGGCTTTAACGCGTCTGAAATCTCTCGGTTAGCATTCAAAGCTTAAAGCTTGGAGAGTGGATGCAATATGCATAGACATACCAGATATCACAATATTTTAGAGTTTTTTTTCCACCAATAACCTCATCCGTAATACCTTATTCATTGCAAAAAATTTCCAAGTCAGAGATAATAACACTGTATGTCATATGCAGTCTTTGTATAAAATCCACAACTATGGAGAGAGGAACCACGACACTTCGTAGTGAATATCCTGAGGTTGGTTGGAAAAACTTTCAGAATTACCTCACAAGCACAGTCCGGTCTAACATTTTTACCGGAAACGCTACCGTTAAACTAACAAATGTATTTCATGACAACATAAGTAACATTCTCAATAAAATTACGACCGTACGATAATGGAGACACAGGATTTCTAAGGATTTTTGTAGGCCGCATCATATACAAAAATATCTAGTAAGAAAAATAATAATAATGTAGAAAATTTGTGGCTCAGGTGTAGGATTATGGAGTTTCCAACTCTTAGCTGGATATTTTGTCTATGGAGCTTTCAATGCGTTTCTGAACAACATCAACACAAACTTCAGTTAGGACTAAAGTAAAAGAATTGATTCACGCATGAATCATAGCCTGTTCTGTTGATCTCGATCAAGAAACAGACCAAATGAAGATACACTCAAAATAAAGGTGCAGATGGCGAAGGTCTAAGGTCAGTAACAACCAGCCAAGACTCAGGTCACCATAAAAAGCTATGAATCATACGTGAAGAAAATTTATTATTAATAATAATAATTTATTCTCAAATAACCGCATGTTTCAAGAGGCATGCAAATTTACAGGCAACATCAAAATGTTATGATTGCTTACATATTTTTTCTAAAACGTTGTTCAGTTGCTGAAATATTTCACAAGATTCATTGGCTTCATATAGATGGCTAAAATTTTTGTAATGTACAATGAGAATAATTGGCCCGAGTTAGGAAACCATGTACGTGATTCCCATCCGGAGGCTGCTTAGAATGGTATCAAAAAGGCTGTGGAAACAGCAGTGATATCTTCTGGTAAGGTAAACCATAAGCCTAGGATGAGGCCGTGGATCTCAGTAGCATCCACCGAACTGATAGAGGCTCGAAAATTCATCCCATCTGACTCTGAACATGATGAAGAACGAACAAAGCTTAGGCGCAGGCTAGTAACATTTTGATGTTACCTGTCTGTCTGTTACAAGAAACTGCAATTACTGCAAAACAATGCAAGGTAGCTCCAGATCTGCATATAACAAGCATTAAGAAGGTAACTGTGCTAAGATCTGCTTGTTATTCTTCAAATAACGAATTTACAGGATCCTGGGTAAATTAACCAAGTCTTCTGCAAATATCCACACTAAAATTTAAGGATTGGAATAAGTGCTAATAAAGAGCAATGGAGAGAACGGGGCGAGAAGGAGAACAGAAAATATTCATACTTCTTTTTATTTAGATTGCTAACAGTACACTTGGACATGTGTATGTTAATGAAGACAAGACGCTAGTAAGAAAACAAATGGGCAATCAATTGAATGAACAGAGGAAATTCAGAAAAACCGAATCGTTAGCAATAATGTTGACTTACAGAATATAATCATGCGTCATAATGATCTGACGCTTTTGTGAAATTTTACATATTCTTTTTCTTTTTAAGTCTCTGGCTAAAGAAGTCATGTGTGAGCTCTTTTTCAGTATAATTGTCTGGATCTGCTTGTGATAGGATTTCATGGTAAGAAGTTGAAACCAGGGCAAAGTTACGAAAATGAGTCGTAGACGAGGTTTACGAGGAAAAAGTAACAACAATACCACTGATTTGTTACATCTTGCTATTTCGTAAGGAGTAGTAGGCAAACAAAATGTTCTACCCAAATGACATGTGTAGATTGAGGTTATGGCCCCACCGTCATGAATGCTGGTCAGATACACCACCAGCACTCACAAACTTTGGATAGCCTTAAACGTATACTTAATAATCTTGCATAACTCCGCCAGTAGAACCTTAGGGGCTACTGCCGGTCCCAAGCCTGGATAAAGGAGGAGGGTTGGACATGGGGTTGGCGACCCCATTCCGTCAAAAACTAACTTGCCAAAAAAACGCTAACCAGAAAAAATAATTCAAACCATTTTAACTCTGCCCTGGGAGTAGTTGGAAGAAGAATTATGATGTCTCGTGATGAAAGCCGAGTTCCCTCGGAAGTCACGGGGCCGATGCCTGTTTTGACAACCAGAGCAACCAATTTTTTAGGTACATGGAACGTTCGTACATTGTGGGAGACTGGAAGACTATTTCAAGTCGATGCAGAAATGAAAAGATACAACCTCGAGGTACTCGGCATCAGTGTAACACATTGGACACAGGTAGGACAACTGAGACTAGCTTCAGGGGAACTGCAGTTATACTCTGGTCATGAAGAGGAAAATACTTCACATACACAAGGAGTTGCACTGATGCTGTTCAAACATGCACAAAAGGCACTGATAGGATGGGAATCTCATGGACCCAGGATCATTAAAGCATATTTCAAAACAAAGAAAGAGGACATTACAATGAACGTCATCCAATGTTATGCACCCACCAATGACTACAATGACGACGTTTAAGATCAATTCTACGAAAGGCTGAAGTCAATCGTCGAGAAATGTTCGCCAAAGGATTTGACGATTCTTATGGGAGACCTGAATGCCAAGGTTGGAATGGACAACACTGGATATGAAGACATCATGGGACAACATGGACTTGGAGAAAGGAACGAAAACGGTGAGAGATTTGTAAACCTATGTGCCTTCAACAAACTGGTCATTGGTGGCACAATATTTCCGCACAGACGCATATACAAAGCCACATGGATTTCACCGGATCACACTGCTCAAAACCAAATTGAACATATCTATATAAACAAAACGTTCAGAAGGACTATGGAGGATGTGAGAACCAGGAGAGGAGCAGATATAGCCTCAAATCACCACTTGCTGATCGCCAAAATGAAACTGAAACTAAAGAAGCACTGGACAACGGGGCAGACAACAACACGTTTAATACGGCCTTTCTTCGGGATATCGCTGTACAAATAATCTAAATATATCGCTAAGGCACTTAACGAACAATTTTGTGCTTCATTAACAAACAAAAACTCGGGGAATGAATCGGAGATGACCTCAATACCTTTATTGTGAAATAATCGGTGTAGACTTTAAAGTACTGAATAATTCCAAGGCCATAAGCACACTAAAACACTCTTACATTGAAGGACTAGATGATATACCAGCAAGCATACTACATTCATGCTTTGTTTAACTACTAAACGAACACCAAGAAATAGTAAATTAAAACGTTTACCTTTCATCATCAATAAATATAACCAGTAGAGTTAGCAAAGGACGTGCATTTGGTTCGCTTTTGTCTTATAAATGAGTAAACATCTGCAATTCGGAAGTCTATACCTGTATACGGATAATCTGAATATAGTATATAGCTCTAAGCCCGACGATTTGTATGAAACCGTATCCGAACTGCGTCAGAAAATAAGCGCTAACTTGGAATTTACCACATCAAAGATAATGAGAAAGATCAAAGAACATATTACCCTGGGAATAGGGAGCGGTCATCAAAATTATGAATAGAGATTTGAAACAATCAGAAGGGAGGTCTCAGGACAGAGCAGGTTGGAGAATGTGTTCAGAGGACTACGTTCTATGAGGGGTAACAGTTTCAAGTGGGTGAGCGTACGCCAGATTCACACTGAGCCAGTGATAAGAATCTGGAGAACAGTAAAAGTGTTAGGAAGTTGTTGACTATTAGTTGCAGAAACGCCTTTATCGTGGTTTATGGTGCGTTAACACACTAAATCAAATGTTCATAAGCATTCGTCATCAGCGGTTTTAAAGTTTAGAAAATTGTTTTGGCTTCAAATGGTAGGCTGAAGTCCCCGTTTTTAATCACGTTTGCTTTACCATGATCTATTTTTAGGAGGACAGTTAGGTGTTACAGTGTAGTGGCGCGACTGGGGATGAAAAGACGGTAAATTGTCACACAGGAAAATTTTCACAAAGTTTTAAGTAAAATGAATTACGGATAGCAGATAGTTTCATCGACTTGTGTTAAAAATGCTTGATTTCTTTAGAATCCAGAACAAACCCAAAGCGGGAACACAGAATATGCTTTATGACATTATTCTACGACTTTATAGCTTTTAAAACAGTTTGATAAAGTGAATAGATGTAGAACATATTCGTAAGTAAAACATCAACAATATATACTAATACTAACGCCTGTTCTCGAGTCACTTCAACCATAAATCTTTTACGGGTTTAGGCTGCGTTTCCTATTCGAGATAGTGTCTTCAATAACTTAAACAAAATATGTATAACGATGTGTTCTCGGTCTAGCTAAAATAATGTGGTCGGCACCCCGACGAAAAGCTTGCCGAGCTTCATATATATCTGTAATTCATTCACAACTATAAGAGCATATTTGTTAGGTCAGGTCGATTCAGTACACTTGAATTGTTTCGTTCAAGATAACTGTGCTGTGACTTTGTTTGTGATAATGTTGTTTGTATTTGTTAAAATATTTCAAAACATTTGACCTTTATTTACTTCTATATTGTACTAGTTTGAATAACAGAATACCTTATCGTTAGTCTCCGGCTAATAGAAGAAATCAACTGAAGAGAACTAAATGATTTCTTTTTGACGTTAAAAGCAATCTGAATGCTTCATGAGCACTATATTATAGTCCTTATGATAAGCTTTTACAATATATTTTTCACATACCAGTCTCTGAATCGTAAAGAAAATATTTCACAAGGTATCAAAATGTTTGTCGGAAAGTTCTGTCTGATGTCAAACGACAAAATGCATTTATTTCTTGGGACAGAGTAGGTCATAAAGTTTAAATCATTTGTTCATTATTTACAGTTCCAGTATTCTTATAATATCAATATCCGAAGATTTTTTAATTCATGATAAGATAACATGGCCGGCGATTCAACATCAGTCGGACTCAGACTTCGCAAATGGTTTCTGTGGTTCTGTTATTTATTCAGTCATTCGATTAAGTCCAGATTTGTATGAAATATGCGGAAAATTTGATGTCAACTTACGCTGTATTATTTTAATCAAGAGAGGATTAGTTTGGTTGTTTTCATTGGAAGAGAGTACGTCACTAGAATATGCAAACAAAGGGATGGTTTTCGATTACTCAGGTTAGTTAATATCTTATCTGAGTTACGATTAAATACAAATCTTACTGAACTTAGCTTACAGACCTGCATCGGTTCAGTTGTCTTTTAAACGACTCTCTAATCCTTTTTGATAACTTTTAAGTTTTACTTGATCATTGATGATAAAAGTGTGGGCAATTATTTATCACTTCTTTTTACAGAGATCAACATTTTTAAGGTCAATAATAGTCAAAATTTCTATTTGCAAATTGCGTACTAAAACTAAAGCTTCACACAGAATTAAGGATTCAAGTGTATTTACACAAAATCTTTAAGTGTACGAACAAACGAACACTTATTACCATTTAAAGCAACATATGTTTTTGATTATTTATGCGAAATCTTTTAAGCAAATACAGCTTCTATGGAATCTGCATAGCTAACTATAAACCGCCATAGTATTCTGAGTTTATCGAGTGTCATCTTATACGCCAAACATACCTGAAAACATGAAACGTCGTTTTGACCTGCTATACTTAACTACTACAACTACTTAACTACTACAAGCAAATGGATATGTAAACGACATCAACTTATTTCTTCAAGATGAATCTGGGAACTTAGCGTTGCAAAAATGTTCTTACAAAATATTTGATCAATATACATGCTAGTATTAAATTATTAAGTGGACATACATTTCAAGTCCGAAATACATGCTGAGCTCATAACTGACAAACCGGAGTTACAGTATATAGATTTAATCGAAGAAAGCAAACAAATTTAGTATTTTCTGAAGACGAAATGATATATTTGGATATAAAATATGGGGGGAAACCTTAATTACTTACAGAGTCACTAGATATTGATGATCAAATTATGATAAAGAAGCAAGAAAGTCAGATAAATTTCTTAGATCATGATAAATTACTTGATATACTTGTTAGGCATTTACCTAAACTATGTTATTTTTTGGTTTTTAATTGGGTAATCAAAGTTAAGAGATGAGAATACTAATACCGATCTAGTGAGACTGACATTATTCTATTGTTTTACTGCCGAGGTATCTTTATTTCAGTTATCTATTTCGAAGCTGCAAATTTCAATCGTATACCTTTGCTGTACAGCTTAGAACAGAACATAAATATTTACGCCACCTTGTCAGGTTCTAAAACAGTCCACTAATCACAGCAAAGTTCACACGGCAGCCAGTTGTGCAAATATTTTCGTAAAATTAGTTTTCTGAGGGTTAAGATTCTGCCCAGTAGGCAATTTTTAGATTGGGGTGATGGTTAGTCAGTTGATGTTCTGGCTACATTTTGTGAATATACGAGACGTTTAGATTTTATCACAGTCTGTAATGTTAATCTATCTAGCATGTTTTACGCCTTTATCTAAATAAAGCTGTCCATGGATAAGAATTAGATCTTCGACCATCAGAAAAACCCGTAACTATATTATCCTCTTATGCATGTGAAAATTGTGATGATTTTTTTTTAACTATTTATTATATCGACTGAATATCGAAAACCTACAAATCTCTAGAATTCGTTTCATTTTTAGAATTTGTGAAAGCGACTCAGTAAAATTGAGGGTCTATAGCCTAACTCACTACTGTTAATTCATTGGTAAATTTAGATGACGGCACTAGATTTGGCTGAAAGGTAGCATTTCAAAGTTTTTCTTTAAAACTTGTCAAACGTATGAGCGCATTTCAGACAAAAAGCAAAGTGCAGTGGGTCAGATAACATATATTAACAGTTTTTTACTGACATCAATGGCATAACTATATAGTTTATTTTCAGTGAAAATAAAGAAAACATCCATCTCCACCGAGTGTAGTTTAGGTAAAGTTAAACATTGTGTGGATTAATAGCACAGCAAGCATACTATTAATAGAGTGATGGATCGTTAAATCATATTTCAGGACCCAGGAAGCAACCAGACAAACTGTACTTACAAACACTATTAAAAACATATAGTCGGTAATAAATAATGATGTTTGATCGTTATAATTCACTGTTTGCCTCGTAAGCAAGAATTGTTGTTGGTTAGCAGTGATTCCTAGAGTGTTTGTTTCTTACTCTTTGATACTCTCACCTAGATACACCAGAGTTATTTTCTCCTCTGAAGCTTGAACCCGAAATCGTTATTTTCAAGTGCCATCACCCTACTCACCAAGCTTTTGAACGCAGATAGCCATTGACTTATTCCATGTGGTGAATTTCAATTCACTCGAAGTGATCTTTTAGAGTAAATCATATTGTGCTCTTAGAAGATATATACATCCAGTGCCGACTGCCCAACATCACAATAAGGTCGATAGAATATTTTAGGTGATCAATAAACGGATTATTAGGAATTTCATTGAAGAATGCTAATTCTTTTCTAATATTGCTTCTTTCGTTTGTATTCTGTCAATATAGATCACTTCTCTTGTCTTCATATAAAACATACATTTCAGTCTTACTGAAGGCCCTTTATTTTCCAAATAGTTCAAAAATCACATTTCCAACCGGATTTAGTCAAATATTGTAGAGTGGAAATCATTTTCTCACAATTCTGTATATGCTTTGATAGTAAATAACAACTATAAAACTTAACAAACTCCACAAACCTAATATTGATAAATAGTCTTAACCTTTCAATTCATATCTATCATTTCTAATCTTTTCGCTAGCAAACATATAATCCTTAGAGTTTTCTTTGAGGATAGAATAAGAAACTTTCACAATCATCTAACAGTGAAAACATCGAGTTTTTTTTATCAATGAAACCATAAAAAAAGTTTTAATTGCATTGTTTTTTTCTCGCTCTCTATCTGAACATATGATGCATTCTGTTTTAAATAATTCAAGTTGTGATAAGTAACCAAGTTTATTGTTTTATTATTTATTTTTATTGAATTATTTCAGAAATTTTTTTTGTTTCTATATTCAATGGTTGTAAACAAAAAAACAAAATGAATCGAACACCTACACACACACACAAAACAACATAAAACTTGAAGAAATTTTCGTACATCATGCTTTTCTTCATTTTTTTTCTCACTGCTACACTGCTATTACCATTAGTTGTTCATGAAAACCAGTATAAAAGTAAATAGTCATTGGGAATGTTTACATCATATTGGTCAGTAGAAATTTTGCCGAAATGTAACACATGTTTTGAACTGTTCATTTTTTGTTTTCTTCTTTCTGTTAATGGAATTTCCAACGTACACTAATTAATGATGAATAAAGAAGATTGTATATATACATACATATAGCAATGGCAATAATAATAAACATTAATAATAATAACTTGTATTTGAATTTTATCATAATAAAAATACAATTTTATGAGTTTTTAATGATAATATAACCTACCTATAAGATATGATATGAATTAAAATAGATTGATGAATAAAGCAAGCAAACACTTGAAAAAATTCTTTATATATATATATATATATATATATATTTATATGATGATGATTTGAAACGATATTCAACAATTCTGTAGTAGTACTTTTATTTATTCCAGTCGTCGGTGAACAAAGTTTGGTAATGCGTCGAGTATCCACCGCCACATCATTGGTGAGCTTGACCAAAGTACTCAACACAGTTTTTTACAATTCGATCAAAATACGCAAAATTAATTTGCTCTGTGAATTATCGAACTTACTCACTTACTTACTTACGTCTGTTACCCCTGAATGGAGCATGGGCCGCCAACCAGTCCTGGGCTTCCTTTCACAGTCTTTTCTAATTTTTGTTCATTCTTCTCATGTCTTTCTATATTTCTCAGCCTAACGTGTTCTTTCGCCTTCCTCTTTTCCTTTTACCTTGAGGGTTCCAAGAGAGGGTTTGTCTTGTGATGAAGTTAGGTGCTTTTCAAAGTGTGTCCTGCCCACTTCCACCGCTTCTTCCTGATTTCCTCCTCCACTGGAATCTGGTTTGTTCTCTCCCACAATAGGTTGTTACTGATGGTATCTGGTCAACGAATCCGAATTAGTTTGTGTAGAAATCTGTTAGTGAATACTTGTGTCTTCTAGATGATGTCTTTCGCAGTTCTCCGATTTTTCGCTCCATACAGGACAACTGTTTTGTCATTTGACATTGAAAATCCTGATTTTGGTGTTGATTGATTCAATTGTAGAAATGCAGCCCTTGCTTTGGCGATCTGCGCCCTCACATCTACACTGGATTCACCTTGATTGTCGATGATGCTGTCCAGATATGTGAAGGTTTTTACAGCCTCCAACGCATTTTCATCAAGAGTGATTTGGTAGGCGCATGTTGTGTTGTATCACATAGTCTTATATTGATGAGATATATACCGCAAGAAATGATACATCTGGGTTCATTTCTTTGAGTTTATTTGATTAATTTTGTTGATTTTGTTTCATTTAGTTGCCAACTTCATACAAAGAACTAAAATCACATGGAAAATTAGTTCACAATGTTCTTTGTCTTGTTATTCATTAAATTTTTGATTACATTTACATGCAAAACTTGCCATTACCTTTCATACTTTTTAAAAAAAATTAATTTTCAAAACAATATATATATATATTCAATGTACCATTTCTCTCTCTCTCTGTCTCTTTTTTCCCTAATTTCAGATGGTTATTTAACATTAGCCTATTTATCTAAGAGATATTTTCCTAGATTAGAATTAAAAAAGATTCATTTAATATCGAATAGAATGATTAGTGACAAAGAAAATCTGTCGCATAATTTATCACATCTTTTCAATGATAATTCTAATATAAACAATGAAAAAAATTACTGGTCTTTATATACAAACTCTATACGTTGGAATAAATTACTACAAACGAGTCGATTGAAAAATTCACATTTCACTGAAGGTTATGAATTTAAATTTTATAAAATTTTATCATTACCTGGCAAAAGATATATTATTTTTCGTGAACCAGCAATAGAAACTCAACTTAAAGAAAATCCATGGACATCTGAACATAAGGTAATTTATTACACGTGGTATTTTAATAAAACTTATAAATTTTGTCAATATTTATGCATTTGATACACTGGAAAAAAATATATTTTTTCAGATAAGATGAGTGTATTTATGTAGAGGTATGTGTGTGCGCCTGTGCAATGTTAATTTGTTCAAAAACTCAAGGTTAATTAAATTGAGAGGATTACATTTCATTATTTCCACTACTTGGTTTCATTCCGATGGAAATATGCAATCGAAATTTTCGTAATAATTCGAACAAGATGCACAAAAATACATAATTGATAAACATGACTTTAGTTAAAACTTAAAAGCATCTTTTTCTGTATGTAAATCTGCTTATGTGGTTTTTTTCTATCAAACTGAGTGATGTAATTGGAAATATTTTATTTTCATTATCCTCAACGTTACCAGAGAATTGACCAAGAGAATATATTTAAAATTTTTTTGCCTGTCCTATAAAGTTTGGTTATCTACCATCAAAACCATGCCATTTTTGTTTGTATTCATACTCTCAATAAACTGGAAAGTTGATATCTGAACATGTAGTAAACGAACTGTTTTCCAAATAATTGAAAAATGTGCATAATGTTGAGGAGTCATTTTATGATTATTAAAAGCTCAGAATGCTTTTGATGACTTAGTGTACTTCAGTATCACTGGGGTCTATTTAATTGTACTTTATGTATCTTTCATGATTTACTGGCGAAATGAATATTTTGTTATGTGATTGAACTTTCTGTCCATGTTAGGGATGCATCCACTTCATCGAAGCACAATGTTATTCTCAACCCGTTTAACTTACTTTTCAATTAATGTTCAAGCTATTTCGTTTCACTTCAGCAGTCTATGCTTTATCTGATAAAAAATTCAAGCAATTGTATTTTTTTATGAGCCGTGTGAATTTCGAAAGTATTTCAAAAGTCCTAACTGTAATATTTCTAAATAATTTCACAATAGTAAGTAATCCCAAGTACATTTTCTGATGAGATTAACGGTTTATCCGTTTAGAGTTCTATGTAGCTGAAAAATTCTAATTATGAAGGAATAATGAAATACATTCATATCTCAGTGTTTGAAAAGAATATTTATGACTGCATCTCATTCTGTTTAGTTTCATTTGGTTTCGATTCACACTTAACTGCTTTTCGTCATCAGACTCGGTACAGATGTCTTCGAAGTATTGTTCTTGTATCCTGGGACAACCGAGTAAGCAATGCTATCGTAAGGAGAGGAGTACTAGGTAGGGATGTCAGATCACTAGATGAAGTATTGAAACTTTATCAGTTGAAGTGGTTGGGACATGTGTTAAGTATGCCCAACTACCGGCTGCCTAGATGACCGATGTTTTGTTGGTGTAGGATTAGATTGGAAAACATCTAGGGGCGGCCAGATCAAAACATGGCAGAAATCTATGAAGTCACTGAAAAGTTGACTGAGACATGTTGGTAGGTGCAGGCTACCTGGCTGGGGTCCGCTAGACCATAGAAACCGATGGTTAGAGACCTTGGACGACATGGCTCAAAATCGTTCGCAATGGCGCAGATGCATCTACTCTTTGTGTTCTCTGAAATTCTAATCTTATGAATTCTTCATCATCTCTATAATTATCTTTCTAAAGTTATCTCACTGAGCTATACTTCTTGAATAATATCTTCGCTCCCTAATATTCTCTATTACTGCTAATACTTCTACTATCTTCACCACTATGTGATTTGAACTTACAGTTGCATCTCTGTGCTAATGCGGTATGACAACCTGAACTGACGTAAGTACGTTCGACGTTGTACGTTGTAACTGACTGACATCAGACTCGGTGTCATAACGAATGAAATAAATGAGCTGAATCTGAAACTGATGCGTATGTATTTTACTATATTCAATAAAACAATCTCACTAGTTTACATTGTCAATATTTTCATTATATTGTTGATCATATTTCATATAGACTGAAATGCTTAAATCCATTCTAAAAATGGATAACACTATGAATCAGAACTATATAAGTCTAAGATTTTGATTGCAAAGAAATATTGTTATGAGTTGCGAATTCATATTAAAAAAAGTTTTTTTCTCTCAAGGAGAAGTAAGATGGCTAATAAACAATAGCTTTCACTTGTCCATGATGTTGAAAGCAACTTATTGAAAACTACTGAATTTTCAATCTTTCAAATTGTCAAAACGTTACTGCTGCAGTTGGTGAAACAATTACAAATTATCATCTGAATAACAGATATACTCTTTCGTCCTTTAAGTATGACTGTATGGTTTTATAAGTGTCTAATCAATCATGTCAACTAGGCGTTCATATTTGCATTAATTAATCCACTGAACTTATATTCTACCGTCCTAATGAACATGCTATAGAATGTTTGGTTGTGATTCACTCGCTACTTCTTACTTATATCATCATATCTATTACATGATTTTATTTGAGTATACGAAAAAGTTAATCTTTTTTGTATACTTTTCCGAATTTGGGTTGCATCTAAACGTAGGTAGGTACATTTACAAGAAACTCAGTTCTGAAAGAGTATCTTAGACGTAATTTAAAAAGTATATTCGTATTGTTTTTAACGTTTCAACTATGTTGGTTAGTGCAAATTTCCAAAATACTCTATATATGATGATAAGAAATTTCACCAGCACATGACATCAGCTGTTAAACTGTTGAAAACCAGATATCTGCATTTAAATTTATACACTGAAGTCTTGCTTCTATTTTGAAATTGTTCAGTCATGATGCTAGATGCAATAGAAAGCCATGAATGTGCATTCTTTAAAAATCTCAAACTACTTACATCACGTTGATTGTAAGATAACATCGATTTGCGATGAAAACTATCACAACATTTAAATTAATAGGTCTCTATTTGTTAAATATTAAATAAACTCAATGAAATAAGAAACAATCAAAGATTATTGTATACATGATTAGCATTGGTTACTTTTTCAATCAACTGACTGACGAAATAACCCTAATATTTCATGTGCGAAATGATTAAGACAATAGCTAACTTTTAACCCTTATCAGTAAAGTAATTCGATGTCTTATAATCCTATTGAAGTATTAAATAGAAAGGGATAATTCAGCCCTATCGATACTAAATATATTTACAAAGTATAATGCACAGCGTACATCTTCATGAAATTTTTAATAAAACTATATTCATAGAAGCAAAATTAAACATTGTTTAATATATATATATATATATATATATATATATATATATATATATATATATATATATATATATATATAAACATATATAATACAAACAGTAAACAAACGTAAAAAGAATTAACTCTATTTACAAACTAATTAAATATTTAAATTAAAACAACTTTATTATTATTACTTTTGTTTCTTGAATTCATTGTTCAATTCTTCTCTGTATTTTTTGTCCGAAAACTGCGTACAATGTAAATTAGAATTATAGATAAATAATCTCGCTACAAAGCAGTAAAAAAATTCTAATTACAAAATGGCTTAAACATTATCATATTAAAAAAGGGTATTGATCTGTTAGCTGACTATTTTCATGTTTTTTTTGTCATGGGAAAATTGAACTAGTAGGTTATGATTAAATTAACAATGGATTAGGAAACACGTAAAATCTGTGAGTGAAAATCTAACACGGAGTATCAGTCGTCTCCTTAATTGGTAGATTTGTTTGTTAACCAGCTTTAAAATCTATATAGCGTCGAATAGAGTTCAGTGTGTATTACAGCAAATTGTTTTGTCTAGTGGCGGCCACACACAAAATTTGACCTTCAGGATTCAATCTTCAATTCAACATAGATTGGTTCAATGTTCAACTATGATTTAAAAACAAAAATTTTGTATAAAATCTCCTAGTTTGTCTGTTCAGTAGTTTTCATTTTCTTTAGTTAAATAGGATAACAAAGGAGGGTAGAATTCTGATGATAATGTTATAAATAAAAATAAAGTAACAAATATTAAGTAAATTTCTGCGAAATTTGAAAGTTTTATTTTCAACAAAAATTATTTAAAAAACAAGTGATATCTTGATCAGTTTGTCTAGTTGTTCTACGTAGAACTACTGTTTCGTTTAGTTTACGTCAATTAAAAATAGCAAAAACGTTACAGTGCAACTGACTGATTAGATTAAAAATAATAGTTCCTATTTATTCTATTCAAATTTAAATGTCGAACACCAATAATCGTGGAATATTAGATTTGAAAAATAATATTCATGTGGAACTATTTAAAAGTGTGTTAAAATAACTGAAACAGTTAATTTGAATTGATCTAAATTAAGGTGACTACAAGCACCCTATGACAATTAGTTTATCACAATCTACCAAAGCAACCAGACTTGCAGAGCAGGAAAGTAAATAGATTTTATCATAGAGGTTTGCTTTTGTGCTTCTAAAATCCATCAGTTAGGCAATTTTGCTTGGATTGTTTGTTTTATCTCGTATT